AATAATGTGAAAATTAAGACACCCTCTACCTACATGTTGCTATCTGCTACAAACTCCCAAGTTCTTATTATTGTCTTTGTTTTAAAACCAAAATGAAATGTAAGGAAAATTACAGAACCACCCATTATACATAATTTTGACTTTGGGCAATCAATGCACATCATAATATAATCTATTTCTATATAATATTTTTCAGAATATATTAATCGCCTCTGATTATATCAATTCTTTCACACATGAACAAATTAAATAATTATAGCAGTCAAAATGTCAGTGCCTGTGCTATCAACATAGAAAGTATTATACCAGTAACTGGATAAATCTGAAATAGGTGGACTGAAGAGTTCATTAAATATGGAAGCAATAAATATCAATTTATAATATTCTATAGTATATTCTACCCATGAAAATCAGTACTTTCAGCTTAATACAAATATTTAGAGCAATTTTATGTGGAACAGTATCAAAATAACTAAATCATCATATATAATATTAAAAGTTAATTAATTACTAAAGAGAATGCTAAAGGTCTTACTGATAAAATTTATATAATCATGTAAAATATAGTATAGATATATATCAGGAGTGTCAAACTCAATTTCATTGAGGGCTGCATCAGCATTGCGCTTGCCCTCAGGGGGCCAGGTGGATGTGGCCTGGGAGGGTGCAGCCTACTGGGTGGGCATGGATGGAGTGGGTGTGGCCTACTGGGTGGGTGTGGCAGCTCTACATTCGCTCACGTCAAGGGTGCCTGTGGGGGCCTCGGCAGGAGTGGGACAGATATGAGGGTCTCTGGCAGAAGGGGGTGGGACCAGGGCAAGTGCAAAGGCATGGTCCACTGGAGGAGCCTCACTGTTCCCCTCAGGCCATGCATGGGGGTGGGTGGATGGTGGTGCGGGCTGCCCGGAGCCCTGGGCAGCAGAGGTCAAATGCCCAGCCTGGCCCTTGAGCACCCACGGCACCAAACCCAGCCCCACTTCCTCAAGGCTGCTTTTCAAGGTTCTCCTGGTTCCAGACAGCCTTGTGGAGATAAGACTGAATGCATTTCAGCATAGATGGCCACCACAAAATTGTACATTGGCTCCCGGCTGGCCTGGGCCAGGGCCAAGGCAGAGGGGGCCATTCCCTCATTGTTTCCAGGATGGCTCTGCGGGCCACATGAAACCACTTTGCAGGCCACATCTGGCCCCGGGCCTTGTGTTTGACATGTCTGATATATATGATGTCTTAATTTTTTCCATTTATAAGTATGCATTTTATCAGTTGCCTTGCACTACTATAGAGGGTGGATGGATAAAGAGTTCCAGATGAAAAGGCTGGCAAATTCAAATCCATGACATATAATAATGTCTCATAAAGCCAAGTCCGTAAAGTCTATTATATAACAGAGTATGGTTAAGTCCACCATTACCACAATACTTTTGGAGAAAGCCAGATTAAGAAAGTTCAGTATATTTTGGATTGCACTTTAAACCAAACCAATCTGAACTATAATTTCTCAATCAAAATGTATTTTTAAAGGAATATTGTATTCAAAGTATTCAGTTAAATATCTTTTGTAGAGATATATCAAATGTTTATTTACATTAATTATTATATATCCATATTTCTTTATATAAAGGTCAAATGCACACTAAATGCATATTTAATTTAAAATATGTCCAAAAACTTCATCTGAATTCAGAAAGCATTTCCAACCTTGAACTGATGTGCTAAATCACACAAATGGACAGACAGTAACTGATTCAAAGAAGATAAAAGAAAATTGGAAGGAGTATACTGAAGTACTGTACAGTAAAGGTGTCAACATCCAAGATAACATGGAAGTCATTCCCTACTTACAAGAACTTCTAATACTAGACTACTAGATCAAAACTTCAATCATTACCAACTTGAAAGGCTATAGGAACTGATGGAATACCCACTGATGAATAGAATAGAATAGAATAGAATAGAATAGAATAGAATAGAATAGAATAGAATAGAATAGAATAGAATAGCTTTATTGGCCAAGTGTGACACACAAGGAATTTATCTCCAGTGCATAAATGTACTTTGAGAGAGAGGGGGGGAGGGGGGAGGGAGGGAGGGAGGGAGAGAGAGAGAGAGAGAGAGAGGGAGACTTAGCACAGTGTGCGAACTTTTATACAATATTTTTGATTTCACAAGCTTGCAAAATAATGCTTAGGATCATCCAAAATAACAAACAAATGGATCATCAAGCAAGTCCACCCAGAGTTCTCACTTATCCTGCTGAGAAAACCTAGCTGCTAGAGAAAGCTCTAATGCTGGGAAAAGTGGAAGGAAAGAGAAGAGGAGGAGGATCAGCACTATGGTGGATTGATTCAGTTACAGTGATGATGAATGCATCATTGATGTCCTGATGGAACAGGCTAGGGAAGATCATTATGGGGAAAAAAAAAATCTATCAGTGTGGTCACTAAAAGTCAACACCAACTAGATGTCAAATAATCTATCAAACAAAATCTAAATTTCTGCATGGTTTTAAAATTGCTTACTTTTCCATAACACCTAAGGCAATTAACAACAGTTATCATTATATAAAAGACTCTTGCTGTAGATATTTTCAGATGTGATGTCAAGGACACTGTCCACTGTATTGCATTCTATTGCATTTGTAGCACTAAACCACTTTATAATTCTTAAGTAAATTGGTAGAATGTTATCAAAGATTCATCAGTTCAGGAAGCTACATTATCATCCATAACATGTTCTCAGCATGTGAAAAGGGTTATAACGGAAAAGTGAATGAAAATCTTACCCTGAAAGTTATGTGTATGTGATGCTATTGTTTTGAAAATACAATAGTAATCTTAGAAAGAAAATGCTGATGAGCACAGGGAGAAAGGAGGAATATAGTGATACAGTATTTTTTTTAATGCTAGTATATACATTGCAAATTCCTATTGAAAAGTTTAGCCCCAGGGCCAATAGTAAAAATATGTTTGATGAGTATTTGAGATTGCCTGCAACCACTACCAGCTTGCATTGTTAAATGTAATGGAAGGTAAATGAGACAGCAATTATGGATACTTGGAAATACAGTATTCTCATTTGCAAAAGGTTGAAACACAAGATCAACCATGCATGTGCCTCTGCCCCTATCCTGAAGGCTTCAGCCTTGAACATCTGCTAAAAGAAAATGAGGATGTGAGCAATTTAAGGTTAGGTAGGGAACAATATGATTGGAAGCAAGGATATTGGTGCAGATTGACTCAATGTTTAAATGATTGAGAGAAATGCATGCATTATGCAATTAAAATCCCTGTTTTATAGCTGTTTTCTAGATCAGCACAATCACTCCATTCTGCATGGTTTCCAACCATATAAACTACTGATCACAGAAGGGATATGACATTTGCAATTGGAACAGCTGTATTACGTCTAGGCCTCTAAAACCCTGAAATGTTTTCCTGAAAGACAGAAGCCTAAAAGTAACAAATAACTACCTACAAATTAGCTTGATGTCTTAGGACAGGTTTAGGCAGGTGTTTCTTAACTAAGGGAAATCCCTTTTTCATACATGCTGTATCTAGCACAAGGGTGTCAAACTGCCGTCCAGCGGGCTGGTTTCATCATACCGGAGCCGCGCCCACCCCATTGCCGGCAATGGCGAAAAAGCTCCAATACGTTGCGTGACATCACGTGATGTCGCAAGTTTGACATGTCTGATCTAGCACATAGATGAAAAAGAAATGATTGATTCCTTAAGCCACCAAACTGCATTATTTTTCTTATAAGTGCATTACAAATGGCAAGTTAGATGTAGCACCTATATGGAATTACTCAATGTTACGTTTAGTTCCTCTTATGACATGAGTTGTTTTTCTTCCATGTCAATATATATTAATTCAATTTTTTTAAAAAAGAAACCACAGATCAATTACAAGACTTGTCACCAAAGTGACATTCCTCTGCAAAAATTAATTGGCTTGATCCTAAAGGTTCATTGCTCCATGGCTCCAGTTGGCTTCAACAGAACCTCTGCAGATAGTCAAGGGAAAGTAATTTTGCTAGTTTCCCTTCAGGCCCCGTTTTCAATGCCATCTAAGAGAAGCTCCAATGCTCTAGAGAGGATTTTATGGAGATGCAAAATAAAATTAGGAAAAAAAAAGGATTGAAGACCCACCAGTATCAGATACCATGATCAAAATTCTGGATCATGGTTGAACTCTGGATCTAAGCTACAGTGTGCACTTATCTAAGATTGTTTAGATTGACTATAAAATCCCACAGATACCATGAATATATATAAGTTCAAAATGCCATAGATTAAAGTTAGATGGTTCTTGTTCCAGCTAAAACAAGAAATAGGTTCATGGAATGAAACATTCATTATAAGGCAAGATGTAAATCTCATTAATAGCAAAGCTAGAAAAAGTCATACATAGTTTAATATGATGAGTGTCATTGGATAATGCTAAAGTATAAACGGGTAATTCATAATTTTTATAAACTGAACAATGTTAGTTTACAGTAAAAATCATCTTTACTTTCTAAAAATGCTAATGTACAATTCAAGCAATTAATTAGTATAATATAATATTTTATTAATTATTTGGGAGGTTTTCAGTATGATGGCAAATTCTACAAGTAGAAGTACAAACATACTTATGTATACATAATGTAATGACTATAAAATGCAAACTTGCTTGCAAAGCATATCAGAAGCCTTGGTTGACAGAGTCAAGTTCCTTGATTAGTAACTGAAGTTGGTTTTTTTTTATATTTACTGTATAAATATTCTCTCTTTTTACCTTTATATGAAAATAATTAAAACAATCGAATGGATATTGTAGCAATAACTCAATTTAAAAATGATTTTGATTGAGCCTGTCATTTCCACGAAGTAGCCATAGCATTAACTATACTGAAAAGTAGAGTAGGTTTCTTTATTTAGAAGAAGCCAATGGGCTTCTGTTAAAATATAAGAAGAAGGATGTTCAAAGGTCCAAGCCAATATGCTATGCACTACTTACCTTCAAAAGTCAAATAAAACTTTCCTCTGTCAAACCAGACGAGAGAAGGCTGTTCATTCTCTGTGTGGCCGGGAGTTGAAGCGGAATGGGAAAGGTTAAGGAGAGGAGAGAGAAGGACATAAGTGTGAATCAGAAAGGCAGGTTATTAATCTCACTACACGGAAAGAGGAGGTGCTGCAAGTTGTTAATGTGCAAGGAAAATTGGGGAGGATTTTAATCGACAATGGTCTTGTTTTGTTTTGGGAAGAAACAAAATAAGCAAGTATGGAATCCTATTGGATGGGGATAACTGGGAACTTCTGAAAATGTGATTGAGATTTTTTCTCTCTCTCTTCTTTAATTTTATTTATTTTTTCTTGGTGGGGTATAATATCAATGCCTGATACCAGTTTAATATAGTTTAATTCCAGTAGCTTTGTGTGGAATTTGCCATTTATGTGTCTTTTCCCTTTAAAACAGTGGTTCTCAACCTGTGGGTCGGGACCCCATTTGGGGTCAAATGACCATTTCATGGGGGTCGCCAAACAACGCAGTCCGCCATTTTTTTCCCTCTTTTCCTTAGCTGTGCTACTCCCTTTTATTCTATTGGCTTTTGAAAGCCAATAGAATAGACTCTCTTGAATAGAGTCTAATTCTATTGGCTTTCAAAAGCTAATAGGAATTGTCCAGGCTGTCTCTGCCCTGCTGAGCCTGCCAAAAGTCCCATTCTGCAAACGGTGCTGCACCAGTTGAGTAGTCCTCGACTTACGACCAGTTGAGTAGTCCTCGACTTACAACCGGTTGGGGGTCGCGGCATTAAAAAGGTTGAGAACCACTGCTTTAAAAGATAAAGCTATAGTCTATAAAGTTGTTCAAGCAAGAAACATTTAAAAATAAGAGAACCAAATAATGCTACATTTCTATTGTAAAACAATCATGACTCAAAGGGAGGCCTAAAATAGTTTCTGGAGCCACATGCACTATTCGTAAAGGTAACATACACTGTAAACCTGATATTATGGATCTTCAAAATTGATGGCCTTCCCAAGGGGACGTCAATATCTGGTTCAGAGTTTATCCAAGTAGCAATGCTTAATTGGGATTAATAAACTGGTGGACAGAATTTCTGTAATGCTGGTTAAGTGCAGGGTTTTATCCATCCTTTTACTTTATTAAAATTCCAAACAGGGAAGCTTTTAACATTACTTGTCAGCAATTAACAGTTTGTTTGACTTTCATTACTTAAGAATTCAGGCAATATGACTAACAATTGGAATTTCATGATAAACTTCTATTACTGAAATTAATGCACACCTAGCTGTAAAATTCCTGGAAACAATATATGTATCCATTTAGGCATGGATGTATGCATGGATGTCTTTCTGTCTCAGGTTGTTGGAAGAAGAACATATATAATTTTTTTTGTCCATAATAGTCCTTAATAAGTTTTGTTATTCCTGTATCAATGTATCAAACATTATGTCACCACTCAGAAACTCATTTTGGAGAAACGAACATTCAGAAGACAGAATTCTTATGTGCAACATGAGTTCCTCTATATCAGCTATGCATTTAATGCATTTGATTCTCATAGTGTCAATTGTCATAGTGAGAGTGGTAGTGAAGAAAGCATTTGGATGACAATGGCTTGGATTTAAAAAAAGCCCCACAACTCTGCTTGTACAGTACCTGCAGGTGGTTCACAGTGCCTTGAAAACATGGACAATTTGTCATTATAAGTATCATCTTCCAAAATCCACAAGCAAAAGAAATGCAAAAGAAAAACAATGAAAACACAAATTCTAAATGAAAACCAAGGAGCTCCTTATTAACCAAATCCACAAATATTATAATAAAAAAGATTTACATAGAAATGGTGGACACAGTTCTTTTATTATCAAAATCATGTTCAATATTACCACCAACACAAACACAAATATAAGAAAGGACAAATGAATGAACGAAATCTGTGCCATATTCTTTTGGATAAAGTATAAATGTATGGAATAAATCTCAGAAACTAAGAGAACAATACATGATAAAATAATATGACTAAGAAGCATGAATTTTCCGCTAAACATTATTCTTTATTTCAAATGAATGTGCGGGCAACCACTTCAATTTTTTAAATTCATAGATTTAAAGTCTTGTCCTTCTCATCTACTACCGCCTATTGCAATTATACCTATTCAAGTGTTATTTTTTGATTGAAAATCTTAATGGATTTCTCTGTTTTCAAGTATATTTCATTCAATCATTCTTGCAATATGAAGATTTTTCCCAATGTACATCCTTTCCTCATCTGTTTTGCTGTAAATGGGAGTAGCTTGCATGTTTGTGATGCAGCTGTCATGAAGACCCAGCAAGAAGGGGTCCTGCTCCAAGGGACAAGTTCCTAGCATGTATTTTGAAATTTGTGTTGTTTGTTCAAATGAAAGGCCCAAACTAATCTTTGTACAACCAAGTTGGTTCAACTGTAATTGCCACTTTATCCCCACAGTAGAAACTGCCCATCAAGTTTTTGTCTTCAGCTAGAAATTATTATATGTTAAACCATTCAGGATATTCATCTGGTAACATATGCAATTAGCCAAGCCCATTCCATCTCATTCAATACCAGACTACATTACCAATTTTCACAGCATCAAGAAGCTTTTTGAGTAAAGGATGCTTTTAAACAGATATGGTAAGTAAACACTCTTGTTTTTAGAAGACTAAATTCCATTTATTTCCTTCCAAAGCCAATACATTCTGAAACATTCCCTGGTGGGCTTTTTTTTTCTCATCTTTCAACAGAAAATTAAGGGAGATTGTTAAAATTAGGATACCTGTGGGAAATACGGTCCTTCCCTCCGTCCCTGCTCAGGGAGAGCATGGGGAGAACACAGAATTTGAAATTTTAATAATTGTTTTCTTCATTTAGAACAACGAAACAAATTTTTGAGCACAGCCACAGACATCCAACAGTATCAAAAGGACAAAACAGCTTGCTTTAATACAAGAAAAATTATTGCATTCAATAATACATTAAAAATAGTCTTAAAAGTGATTTGCCAAGAATGTGACCATTCCTATGGCTCTCTCTAGCACAGAAATACAGATTCAACAAATTTCAAATATAGAAATTAAGAAATTAAATGGCATTGTACTATATATACCTAGTTTGAGTTATTTTAATATTCTAAACATAAATAATGCTTAGCCATTTATTTTAACACATAAGTAATCATTAAATATAGCAATGATAAAATAAGAGCCAATATGATTTCTTAGCCATTTTTCTTGCATAATTTACATAATCATTTTGTACTACAGCCTATCTATAAATTGAATATAGATTTTTCAGAAAGGCAACAAAGATTTTGAAGCACTTGATTAAACGTTTAACAAGTTACTAGTTGAATGCATGCTCTAGATCTAGCCGAAAGTAAATTCACCTTCTAATAACAAAAACAATTGCAATAAAGTAATGTTTTAGAGTTAAAAGACGGAAAACGTTCTGTAAAGGGGAAATTACAGTGTCATGTATCCATCGTGTAAAGAAAAATACAATTATTTCAGTTCTTTCTGTTTCTCATATTGTCAACTTTGATTTATTTTGAAAGAATATTCAAACTGTTGCCATTCTGATTTCAATCAGAATAATTAGGTAGATAATCAAAATGCCTTTCCATATAGACTAGAAAAGAGTTGAGATAAAGTTACATAAGAGGGGCATAACAGAAATTGTGATAAAGCACAATTTAGATTAATAGTAGAATGAGACCGTGTGTGTAAAAAAACAGCAAAGGATATTATAACCTAGCGATAAATGTGAAGTTTAACTGATATATAAAAGGGCACAAATATTGATGAAATAAGAAACAGATCAAAGAGCAAATCTGAAATCTGCAGCAGAATGAACTCTATCTGACAAAAGAATTTTTAAAAACAAAGTTATGCAACTGAAATTGAGGATGGCAATGGGAATCAGAATATATGATCCAAGAAGATGAGAATGAAAACAAAAGTGAAAGAAGCAGCAAAGAAAATGGCAGGAAGAACAAGAAAGACTAAAGAAACAATGAAACAAAAGGAAAGGATAGAGAATCTATGATTCTAATACTGTAATGCAGATTCTTTAGGGAGGAATAATATTTTAGTAATGTTTTTCACATTTCAAATTCTTAGAAGGTTCATACTCATACATTTTAGCTGCTTTTAAATTTTTATTGTTTTCATTGTCTGAAATTCATTTAAAACACATTTTGTTCATAACATTATTTTGACAATGTCAACATATAGCTAGTTCCTGCTTTTTTCTACTCAGAATTGCATTTTCTGTATATTGCATTATTTAGCATAGATATATTTAATTTAGCAATGATTCCTACAACTATCAAATGATCAGACTGCTGTTCTGTTTTACAGATTCTTGAACAAATATAAGCCTGACCCATTCCAGATGTTTTCAACTCTAAGTACTATACTGTACTCCTTTGCTATTTAAACTACAGTAATCAAGGCAGAAGAGAAATAAACTTAAAAAAAATATCTAGAAGGCACCAACCTATCTACCTTGTAGTCTTTCCCAAACAAACAAGCTCACTGGTGATGAACTGCTGTTTTACTCAGATTGGGTGTCCTTCACCTCTGGTCATGATCTTTAAAAATTTGGAGTTTCTCTCTGCAGGCAGCAAATAGTGGCAATCCACATCTTGTCTTTAACTGGGCACTCATATGCCATAAGAGGAAATGCCTGACAATTCTCCAATAATATCACAGGGTTGAAGGACATGATAAAAAGACCAAACTCCAGAAATAGTCTGCCAAGATATGTGCCACTATGATAACAAGATGACTTCCTTTTTGTTTGTTTGTTTGGGGAGTGGGGAGAATTTCTATGATGATGTACACTAAGGGGCAAGAAGGATGCTTTTGGATTCTGGCCATCATTTTTATTTCATTATTTGTATTCCACCTTTATTAATTTTTACAAATAAGGTAGTGAACATATCAACACACCTTTGTCTTCCTATATTGACTAGAAAGGTTGTGTTCTGGTACGCAGTTAGTTTTATGCCAATGCTATAGACCTGTAGCAGAAAGGAGCTTATAATAGCAATAGCACTTAGACTTATATACCGCCTCCCAGTGCTTTACAGCACACTCTGAGCGGTTTAAAATGTCAGCACATTTCCCTCTATAATCTGGGTCCTCATTTTACTGACCTCGGAAGGATGGAAGGCTGAGTCACCCTTCAGCCTGGTCAGGATTGAACTCCAGGCTGTGGGAAGAGTTTGCTTGCAATGCTGCATTTTAACCACTATGCTACCAATGGTTAGACACAGCAGCATTTTTATATTCTGTTTCCTCTGAAATGTAAAATCAAAATACTTGGGTGATACAAAGCTAGTTTCCCTTTCTTTCTCCCTGGCTCTCTATTAAATTGCTAAGATACTAAGGGATATACATGACAATTCTATACATATTCAGTAGCTTATTACAAAGCACATAGTTCAGTTTAATTTAGCACAAAGCAGTAGTTCAGTCTTTAGTTTAAAAATATTGGTTGATTTTAACTAAGAACTTTTTAATGTAAAAATCTGAGATCTATTCCTTTCTTGCTCTGATTCAGTCTTGGAAAAAAGGAACAGTTAAAGATGCAACTTTCTGAACCAATATATGTTAGTTAGGAGTGTGTTCTGTCTGTATAATGTAGGGGAAAAATGAATGTGTACGCTGAATACGAATGTGTTCACCTTTAGATCCTGCTATCATATATAATCTGTATAATCCTATTTGTAATCTATAACAGCGCTCCCCCAACCTTTCTTGTGCCAGGGAGCAGTTTTGGAAGAAAAATTATCTTCCCTGGAACAGGGGGAGGGATGGTTTCATGTGCAACCTAGATCCTGCGCATATACAGATGAACCTTCGCTTGCTCGCCCACCGCTTGTGCGGTCTGGTTCCTAACAGGCTGCGGACCAGTACTGGCCCAGGGGGATTGGGGACCCCTGAGCTATAAGATCCTACTATTATGTATAGAAAGATATGTAAAAAAAATATAGTGGCCTAAAGAGAATCACAGTTGCGATTCTCCGTTATGATTTTCCCGTTTTTTTCCATTTTCCATGCAACATGATGATAATGAAACAAAGAAAACATAACCAAAATAAGAATAATCAGAAACCAAAGGATTTAAGCCATTCTGCTAACAGAAACCATTATTCAAAAGAAAAAAAAGTTGTTACCAATTGTAGGAGTAGTAGCTGCACTCAAGGAATTGGTGGATGAAATAGAAGAGGTGCTTTCGGCACGTGCTAAAGGTGCTATTGGAGGAGGACTAGATGAGTGAATTGGAGGGCTGAAAGGTCTGGACTATAGATAAACACAAAGAACATTAGAAATACATACAACAATCACTTAATGAACCCACTCAGTACTCAAAAATATTCATAACTCTACATAGCCTTAGATTTGGGGGTAAATTGAAGATTCATCCATAAATATCAAATAGATGCTTAGTTTGATTTCTCAGCAGCCATTTCCTGACTACAACTGATTGCAAGTGTCATCTTTAATTAATATAATTTTGGGTTTGCCCTTTTCCTCTCTTCATCCAAGTAGAGTGTGATGCCAAAGCTATGGGCCACTTTTGAATTTTGTTTTATTTTGAAGAAGCAAAATGGAATCTTTCTTTTGTTAAGGGGGGAAAACCCATGCATTCATTCTTAAAAATCCCCAAACCAACCTGAAAACCATGTATGATCTTATTACTTTTGAAAAGCCAATAGCTGACAAAAGTTACATATTCCAACCTAATCAATAGGTTCTGAATTCAGACTTGCCTTTCAGGAAATGGGAGCATTGCAATAAGGATTTACCTGATAGGAGATTGGGATTAAATGGTTAGCTGATTTCCCTTTGCTACCCCCCCCCCAAACTTCAACCCCTTCTTCCATGCTCTCAGAGAACGGTTTATCAAAGAGACACAGTGTCCTGACCTACTGGCTTTCAGCAAGTTGTAAATTAACTAGGTGTTTTCACTTAATTTGTAAGGAAAGCTGACAGTTTAATTCAATCTATGTTCAAGTCTAGAGTTCCATCCTAGGAAACTGGTCTCAAAGGGCAAGGTAAGAAATTGAGAATTACAGCAGAGAAGAGTAATACACTTACAGGCCCTTGAGAATAGGTCATAATAACAAACTGTTTCAATTTTAACTATACTTGGGCAAAGGTTTAATGCTAGAAGCCTTCAGATGTCTATCAGTTCTAATTTCAAGGGCACGTACTACTTGAAAGGCGTATATTAATTATAATAAAGCCTCCTCGTACCATGGGCTACAGATATAAACCTTTCTATCTTCTAGCTTGGTGCCCAAAGCTAATGATGCTCCTGTGGGTTGAGTGGTCTCATTTTTGGTGTCAGTATACAATCTTATTGTATACTAAATTCTGAATTTTTTTTGTATCATGAAAAACAGGTGAAGATATTTTAACAAAAGTCACATTCCAGCTTCATCTTTCTGTCTATTAAGTACAAGTCTTTTCCAATCCTATATTTTTTAATAAGTATGAGATTACCTTGTGAAGGAATAGTTGCAAATAGTAGCCATGGTGATTGATTTGAAATGATAAAGAACTATAATTTATTATCCTTTCGTTGCATGAGAAAAGCTTGATATTCTTGCTAAAGTAATAATTCTAAAAAAAAAACCTTCATGAAGGCCAACAAAACTAGCCTATAATTTTAAATTTAATTCATTTTAAAAATTTAACATTAAATTATAACACTCTTCTGGATATTTTCCAACAAAAGCAAGAATTTAGCTAGAGACCTAACCAATATAATTTTTACATCTTTTATTCATTTTATTCACTTATTAATTTATTATACCGGTTTATTTAATATTACTTATTATTATTATTATACTGGTATTCCTCATACTCAGAATAAAGCCAGTCCACAGTGGTTAATGTAATATCTGTTCATATCTACAGTGCCTCCATAGTAGACAAGAGACATCCTCAGTGCAGTTAGCAATTCTTAAAAAATCTAAAACCTACCACATCAACACCTGGCTTTCCTGGAGGTAACTTCGGACGAGATGGGGGTCTAGGTGGCGGCGGGGGTGGAGTAGGGCTGCTGCAGGATGCCAGTGGGGTTGCAGGGCGAGCAGGGGATGATGACCCTGAAAGAAATGTACATTATCGGCCTGGTGTTAAATTACTCTCATGACAGCTCCCTCATACCTTTAAAGTATATATGCCACAGTGTGGAGAGTCAATCAAGCTAAACAACTGCAAAACCAGCTTGGGATTTGGGTCAGGGGTTACTGAGTAAACATATGCATTCCTATATGTGGACTCAAACTGGATGAAATAGAAAGTTCTAGCCACATAGGTAACCATGAAATAGAACAGCTTATTTCTCTGCTTTTATGCCAGTGCAGTTTTCACACATACGTTAACAATATATATGCTTTGGATATGTTTGCTTGTGCATAAACCTTACAAAGTTTAATTCAAAAGGAACACTGGTTGAACTGCATCATTTTAGATTAAGTGTGGCTACTCAGCATTCCAAAATATTGCCCTTTTTAATATTAACTTGTAATAAATGGACAGTATGTTATTGTTCCAAAAATTTAATCGGGGGCACTGCAATCAATTAATAATGATAAAAATAGGTAAACTGCAAACCTACACATATTTATTTAGAAATAAATCTGATGATGTTCAATTGAATATACTCCCATGTAAATGGCTTTGCAACCTTAGTGAATGGTAAATCACAGTAAAAAAAGGATAAAAAGCTGGCAAATCAGATAACAATCAAGGATGATTAAAATTGTGAAAATCTGATATTACTCTGGAGAAAAATGCATGTCCAGAATTTAAGAAATTGATACAATTCTTACTCTTTCAAGGGTAATTTTCCCCAAAGTGTCGAACACGTTTTCTAAATTGCCACTGACAGTTGTTAAACAAGCTGTTTCATTTAAGTATAATCATTCATTATGAAAGAATAATACTGAAACTGATTTAATTCACATGCCAATGTAAATCCAACTACCATACAAATTCTTTTTGTTTGTTTTTGGGTGGGTTTTTTTTTTGCCAACAGACTAGAATGTCTTTTTTGAAACTTAAGAATATGATGTATCTTTAAAAATTACCCTAGAAGAACTCCAATATCATATCTCAAATGACTTCAAATGACTTCAAATGATATCTAAGCTATTACTTATGTTTGGTAACATCAAACGTTTGTTTTAATTGGAAGAATCCATGCTGTGTCTTCTTTCTACTCTATCAGTATTCTTCCTGGAAACTAGAACAGTTGCAGCATAGAAGGAATTCACAGCATGGACTCCTTGTATGCACGGTAAATGTACAGCAGTGATTAGTGTGTATCATAGGAAGGAAGTATGCTGCAATTGCTTTCATGCTGCCAAAGGGAAAATATAAAAAATGAGCCCTAAAACTTATTTTATCCATTCCAATGAATAGTACATTACATTTCTTCTTTCTCCCAAGATACAAAGTTTATACATAGGGCTGCACAAAGCATTTGGAAGAGGTGCTTTATAAAACATATAGTGTGAACGAAGTGCCCCTCCTTAAAGAGTTAAAGCAGCCTCATCCTCCAGAAGGCTTGGAGTAAATTGTGGAAGGATTTGCCTGATTGTCTATGCATATGGTATGTCTGCATGCGATGCCACTTTGGGGGCAGTCAGTATAGAAAAATTGTACCTGCAAACAAATACACAGGCAGCTAAGAAAACCTTTAGGAAGAGGTGACTTGGATGTGACTTGAGGTGACTTGAGGATGAATATTTGGGTTGTGTAAGCCAAATATTGCAATACTTTACAAAGATCCCATTTTAAATATTTGGCACAGTCCTATCAAATGGCAAAGATTTATTTCAAGGGAATAAAGAAAGGAGGTAACCAATCAGATTTTTGTGGTGCTTTCCTAAGTCCTAAACTGAACCCTTTAGTATCAAACAAGACATTCTTGTCAGGAGGGTTGATCTATCATGTCAGTATTAGTGAAACTTATAAGCACTGACTGATTACATGCATCATGCAGTCAGTAAAACACTCAGCTGCAAGGAGAGGGTGGATGGATGGAGCTTTAAAATACAGCATCATAAATTATTATGTAATATTTGTTGCATTACTAATTTTCTATTTGCTAAGCATGCTCTGAATAATTTGCTTATGCGAGATAAGGTTTTGGAAAAAGTTGACAATTTAGGTTTTTTTAGTGACCCATACTACTGGAGTAGTACATCTTTTGCTCTGATACTAATTTTCCTTTCCTTTCCTTTCTCTTTCCTGTCCCATCCTGTCTTGTCCTGCCATGTCCTTTTTCCTTTCCTTTCCTTTCCTTCAGTACTGTATCATAAAAAAAAAATCTGCAAAATGATTGCATAAATATTCATTGTGTATTGCTGTACAGTTCAGTTTTCTCTGTTAGTGATAAATAAAGAAGAAATGTATATTGATAAACCTATATCTATGGAGATTCTCAGTTGTCCAGGTCATGGCTGTTTCTTTGTTTTTCCTGGAAGACGTTTCATTTCTCAACCCAAAAACTTTTTTTCCACTCAGAACTGAAGAAGCTTCTTGGATGAGAAATGAAACATCTTTCAGGAAAAACAAGGTCCGATTCCCTTTTGAAAAAGCACTCTTATGATGAATCTGTGCTATGAAACTAGTGGCGGTTTGTAAGAATACATCTATCTGCTGGAAACAACAAAGAAGCTTTATATTCAAGGGACCATACACAGAATTAAAAATGTTTCTACAGAATCTTCAGATATCTTAGCAATTTTCTAAAATGTAGTATTTGGTGTAGAACTTACTAGACAGTTCTGTCTCAAAATCAGAACAAGAAATGGATGCTTTTAATAGAACTGTCAAATCAGTGTCCATGTAATATGTTGAAGCTGATTTGACTGATAAGAAACAGACATTATTTTGAAACTATTTTGCATCTAACTCCAATCAATCATTATGATAATTTCTGTGGTAACTGACATTTCAAAAGGCTAGAATGGCTGTTCACACACAAATCTTTTTGTTATATTGTGTGTTTCCTGGATGTGTTTAGATTTTTTTTCTTTTTGACTTGGCTTTCTGGTTGTTTCCCATTTTTTATTGTAACAAGTAAAGTGAAAAAGGAAAAGGAAGGGAAGGAAAAAAGGAAAGGAAAGGAAAGGAAAAAGTAAAGTAAAACATTCTCTCTCCTTCCATCTAATTATTAAGCAAATGTATTCTTCCTTTTTGAGTTCTTGACATATACTGCAGAATTCAGAATAACTGGATTAAGTTACATTATTTTTATTGGGACTGGTGTCTGAAAATACACTCCTTTGCTCCACTTCAATCCACACATAAAACTTCATGGAAATATTATGTTGTGGTAAGTGCACAAGAAGAAACAATAGCCTTCAATTGTGTCCTTGAAAGAGTCAAAACAAGGAAAAATACAACAACCCCAAAAGATATTGTAAGAATTGATTTTAGTTACACAGGAAAGGAATTTTGAGATAGGAAGGCATATATGTCTACAGAACCCTATCATCCTTAACTGTACATACTGTTATATAAAACTGTAAGAGATGTTAAAAGCCTGATTAACTTCAGTCTTCCAGTACCAGTCACTCGTGGGAATAATAAGTGAAATAGATAACACACAAACTATTTTTGCACTTGCTTTTTATATCAAAAAATATGAATCCTAGATTGCTGTAAACAGATAATGTTGCAATTATATTGCAGATCAAACCCAGGCCTAACTTGTATTTTTCAGGGAGAACATCTTAATCAAAATCAACTATCAAACTTCAGGAAAATAAAACACTTCAACAAATAAAAGAAGTGTTTTTCCCCAGAATATTAACTGTGAAAGGTTGATTTCTGATTTTTTACAAAAATAATTTAAATTAAAAAAGGATTTCTTCCACCTAGGGCATTTCAAACTTGCATAACTGATTTTTTATTACACTGATAAGCTATACAAAACTGTTTTGTACCTAGAGCAGCAGTTACTCACTTCATCATCCATCTGTAGATAGAATATACAAGCTTTAGGCTATTCCATTTATCATATCTGGAATATACAAGGCCATCCCTTGCTTTAAAAGGAAACACTAATTTTAAAGACTAATGATAACATGTACTCTGTTCCCTAAAAATAATAATGATGAAATTTGCTATTAAGGAAAAAATATAGCATTGAACTTGAAGGATAAGTTCTAAGACCTCTATAATGGTTTTTGGGTTTTTTTTGCCTCAAAATAGAGTTTAAATATATTCCTTCTTTCTGTTCCCCTCTCTCAGAATTCACTCTTGCTACAAAAGGCATTTTCTTTGAAAATAAGGATAAGTAAGTATCAACAGGGACAGGTTATCAAAGATAAGAGAGAATTCTTCAGTCTCAGCTTAGATGAACACATTGTTGATTTCCTATCTGTAATTAGGTAATAGATAGTTTTCATTTCTTTCCAAAACTGAATTGGGAAAAAGAGAAAAAATACAAAGCATATGTTGCCCAAAGGAAGTTACTTACTGGACATGCTCAAGAAATTATTCTCATATAAGAAAAAAGCTACAGTTCTTTTTCAGACTCTAGAGCAGTGTTTCTCAACCTTGACCATTTTAAGGCATGTGGACTTCAACTCCCAGAATTCCACAGCCAGCAATGCTGGCTGTGGAATTCTGGGAGTTGAAGTCCACATGCCTTAAAATGGTCAAGGTTGAGAAACACTGCTCTAGACAATTGTTTTTAGTTACAGAGATGGGTTTAGCTTGTTGTTTGTAGAAATAATGGGGTGTATGTTTCACCGCATCCCTTCTTTTTATTTTTTAAACTACTTAAAGGATATATTAGGAAACATAACACATTTTAAAAGTATTTGCAGGGAAAGCAACCCAAAGTGTTGTTCCCCTGAAGTGTTCATTATTAATCTGAGATTTAAATATTTTTCTTTCCTGCTAAATTCACACCAGAGCTCCTATTAGTCTGAGAAGAGCCAAAGATATGTTCTTGTCCTCACAAAGGGCAGGAGTTTGCTTTGATGTCATTTGGAGCGCACCTTAGAGTCCATGGTACACTACAACAGCTTCAGAAGTAACTCAATGGATTTCCTGCGGACTAAAATAATTTTTCACACTAACCATCTTTGTTTCTTGGGCTACTACAATCATCTGATATATCCATATTTGTATTTCCAATGAAACAGCACTATATATAATTTGCTTTTGGGATTACTACATTGGAATTACTATATTAAGATTAAATTATTATCTTAAATTGAGTTCATCTCCTGATCACTGTATGGACATGTCCATTTTTTTCCAATCTCAAATCTAGAGGTTAGTGAAGCAAGAAAGACAAAACTGACTCTTTCTCTCCTCATTAACATTATAACACTTATTATACATGTTAGTTGATATCTGAGCTGATTTTCATGAAGGATTTAGCGCTATTCTTACATCCATCTTTAAAAAAGGAGCTTATGATATAAGCTAATTGAGACACTTCTTTTGATTGCCAATTAAAATTTCCATTCTCCCAGATCCCTATCCCATGTTAAGGAGAGTTTGGTTTGGCACCATTCAGTCGTGGGACAAAGATCACTACAGGCCCTGAGAGAGAGGAAAAAAAATCCTTCCTAGACAGATGTGATCTTTCCGGCTACTGTTTAAGTGCTATCAAATTGGTTTTTTTTTTCATAACTACTGATCATAGAAGTCATGAATTATATAGATGAAGGTGGAAAGACCTATTATACTTTCTTTTTCTGCAAAAAGGTCAAGAAGGAACTGTGGTAAGCTGGTAAAATATGAATTCTTTTCTTATGCTTTCCTCCTGAGGAAAATCGCCAAGCGAAGTAAAATAAAATACTTCATTTCTTGATTCAGAGCTTTGGTAAATTCTAGAGCATCCTTGATCAATGATAATATATTCCCACCGTTACCTGGTGCTTAAGACATAAAGCTCTCCCATCAACAATTAGACATTCAGCAATGGTAGGAAAATAAAACATACTATCAAGGATTCACAGTTGAGTTGGGTCACAAGAGCACGGAATTAAAAAAAAAAGGCCACCGGGCACAGTACAATCAAACAAAAGGGGATGATTGATGCTAAAAGCCAAAAAACAACAAAAACAAAAAAAAACTAACAGCTAAAAAGGCTTGTTTTTTCACACGGCAGCATTCATGGCCACACTGAAGCACACTCAAAGCCGTTCAGACATACCACTGGTGCTTCCTGTGCCACCGCCAGGGCTGGGTCCGGGTGATGACACCACTGTCCTGTAGGTAGGAGGTGGAGGGGGAGGTGGTGTTGCTGTCTGTCCCACCCCAAAATCTTTAGGAGATGCTGCTGGTGCTAAGTTATCATCTTTAACGTGGGTCTGCTCTGAAACCTTCTTCTGAACCTCTTCTAAATTGAGTGGAGATGGAACATTGCGAGAGATTTCAACCTCTGGAGGCTCTTCCGGGATTTCGGATGCCACAGGGGGGGACACCACTTTTTCCCTTGAAGTCACCTCTGGAGTTACATTTTCCTGGGACTGATCAGAAAAACTGATCCATTTATCCTCTGCATTATCAGTAACAGACTTGGGGGATAATACTGGGCCAAAAATGCTGTCCAAGTCATTGATTGATGGTAGTTTGTCACTTTTGACCTCTGTTGCTGTCTGGTCAATTCCTGTGGTCAAAGTATTTGATTTCAAACTTTAACATCAACTTGCACAGTTAGGTTGTATTATTGCTCTACGTATGAATGGGGCTTTTAAAATTCAAGCTACATTCTAGCACAAATACATTTTAATAACATATTTAAAAGGTGCTTTTGAGAACATAGTTGTCTGCAGGTGTCCATATAACTTTGAAATACATTTCATGTAAATTACATTCTTCTTTCAAAATCAAATATCATACGTTACATATTGATAGAGAAAATTACCTAGGCAACACAATTGACACTGTGACTTTATTACTAAATATTAGAAGAGAAATGGCAAAACAATACAAAATTTTAAAAAGGTGACGTATGTGCACATATGAACATGTATATTGCATAATGCATTGGGTTATGTGATATGCAATGTGGCATTATTTTAGCAAATAAAAAAGAATATAATTCGTAATACATTTCTAGTCTTATGATTGCTGAATCATCATTATTGCCAAAATAAATTTTAGTAAATGTAGCAGAATATTTGACAACAGATGTGTTAAGGGACAGGAAAAGATTCATAATGAAAAATTAATTAATGGTTGCTATATTCAAATAATTGCTGCATTACTAAATTTCAGGGATAATCTGAAATTAAATAAACTGTTTCACATTTTTTTCCTTCTGTGAAAGAAAACGTTAAAAGTTCAGCCTGTGTCTCAAGCTTTGTGATTAGTTGCCATTCAACAAAAGTTAAGCAAATTTAATTCCCAATGACAACAAGAGATACAGCCCCAGCCTCCATTTTATCTGAAATGGTCACAATTTTCCAAATCTGCATACAAAATAGAAAACAATGTAGCACTATTTTCTTTTCATAGAAAAGAAAAAGACTGTTCCATATGTGCAGAGCTCTGGATCACAGCTAATAAGTTCATTGTTGAAATATAACTTCTATAGTTATTATTCTGTAATTATGAATAAATAGATATAAAACCAAAATGCCCAATTTCTTTAGGAAAGCAAAAGTATATTAAATTTTTTATTCAACCCCCTCCCCCTTCCCGATTGCTGAATTCGATATGGAGAAGGCTACATTTGAGAAATTATGTATTTCAGTATATTTGTAGTCTTACCTTTCTATAAAAGTGTAGCATATCAAGAGAGGTAACCATCTACCATAGACCATGTATATATAAATGAAATATTGATAAAAAGAGAAAAAATTCTGATCCAAAATGTTACATATGTTTATAAAGAAATATTTTAAAAATGGAGTTGGTATGCATGGCAATTTTCATTACATAACAGAATCACTTGTTGATTGAGAAAAAACCCTAAATGCATTGAGATTCAAGACAAACATATATAAGCTACCCAACTTCTTTTCTTATAAAAAATTCAGTTTAGTAAACAAAAGCTTACTGATAAAATTACCAAAAACCATTCAAATTAAATTTGATTACTTAATATAGCACAGGCAACAGAAGCATTTCAAAATGTCAAGCTTTTTAGAAAATAATGTATAAAGCTTCATCAGATATTTTCTGGAATCTAAAAAGAGAAATCTGCTTAAAATGTTTTGTGAACAAAATATTAAACACACATATGCATAATACTATTAAGAAATTACAATTGAATTCATATTGAGGTTTCATAATGTATACTAAACAAGGTCATAATTATTATGCAGCAAAATATACAATGATTCAATCTGACTATTTATGTCAAATATTCTTACCTACTCCAATTGTTAAAGGAGAACCAGCCTGGGGAGGTGTAGCAGGAATGTTTTTGGGAGGAAGTGGTGGAGGTGCTGTAACATAAAAGGAATATTTCAAAGACAAGGATGGACAAAGCTCAATCACAAAGAAATTGACTAATAATAATAATAATAATAATAGTAGTAGTAATAATAAAGTTGGAAGGGACCTTGGAGATCATCTAGTCTAGGGGTAGGCAACCTTGGCTCTTTTATGACTCGTGGACTTCAACTCCCAGAATTCCTGAGCCAGGAATAAAAGAGTTGAAGTCCACGAGTCATAAAAGAGCCTAGGTTGCCTACCCCTGATCTAGTCCAACCCCCTGCTCAGGCAGGAAACCCTATACCATTTCAGACAAATGGCGGTCCAGTCTCTTCTTTAAAACTTCCAGTGTTGGAGCATTCGCAGCTTCTGGAGGCAGGTTGTTCCAGTCATTAATTGTTCTAACTGTCAGGAAATTTCTCCTTAGTTCTGGGTTGCTTTTCTCCTTGTTTAGTTTCCATCTGTTGCTTCTTGTCCTGCCTTCAGGTTCTTTGGAGAATAACTTGACTCCCTCTTCTTTGTGGCAGCCCCTGAGATATTGGAACACTGCCATCATGGCACCTTCTCTTCATTAAACTAGACATACCCAGTTCCAGCAACTGTTCCTTATATGTTTTAGCCTGCAGTCCCCTGATCATCTTTGTTGCTCTTCTCTGTACTCTTTCTAGAGTCTCAACATCTTTTTTACATTGTGGTGACCAAAACTAGATGCAGTATTCCAACTCAGTCTCGTGTAGATGTAGCTGCAATTCAGAGAGTTCATTGTACAAACAGAACACATTTCTACTTGTGCAGGGCTACCAGTTGTTAGCATCTGACCTTCAAAGAACATCCCATAATTTTTATGCAGAATATCTCTACCATCAGAAATACACACTTAATATGGTAGCATACATAATGTTACTAAATTTTTTCATTTTAAAATGAATATAGCAATTTTAATGATACATTTTCTGATTAATGTCTCTTTCTAATATATTATATTGGCAGTAAAGGTGAGTTTTCATTGCACGGTTGCATTAATATCTCTGTTTCCACATAGTATAACGAGCCACAATCCCTAATGGATTTACTTATTTCTGTGTTTTAGAATTTTTCAATTACAAAGGCCAAACAAATTAAACCACTTTTTCTACCAGGAATTATTCTAACTTACTTCCAGATGGGAAGGGTCGTGATGGATCTGGAGCTTCTACACTTGAGTTTTCTGGTTGCATAGAACCCCAAACTTCAGACTGATCTACGGAACCTGAAGTCACACAGATATATAACAACATATTAATCTAGGAGTAACACAAGAGCTTGATTCTCTTTTATTTCCAATAGCAGTTTAACTATGAACTTTCGGTATTAGCGAATTACAGCAGCTACTCAAATAAAAGAAATTTTTTAAAAATTAATCCCAATACTTGTAAGTACTATTTTGAGCGTTTGTTTTACCATGAAATAGGCAGTACAATATTGGAACCAGTGGCTTCCTGACGCGTGTATCCAGTTCACATTTCTCATTCATGTAATATGGCAAACATTTTTTAAAAAATATCAAAATGCTCCTTAAAAATGATTCGGATAGGAGCAAAAAAGAAACTTAACATAGATTTGATTCCATGTTTTCTTAGGTTAGCAATTCAGCACTCCAAGTGAGCATAGATATGCTCACAATAAGAAAAAAAACAGTCAGCTGAATTTGCTAAGAGAGCACAGGGACATCGTGATGAAAGCAGCATTGGAATACACACCCCACCCTTTCCATACCTGCACTAAGAGGTTGCATGCAGATACAAAAGGGGCAGAGCTTGGGATGAAACTGCTTTTGTTATTCTGAATAAAGCAACACACTCTGGGGAAAAGGACAGAGTTAATCAAATGATGGATCTAATGATTATTTCAGGTGAATCAGCTTGATGCAAAGACTATAATACATGGCGCATGGTCTGGGGATGATATTGAACTGGAACAGATAAGATCCAAGTTTCAATCATAGAGGTTAATTGGGTAACTTCCAAACAATCACATTTTTCAATCCAAAATAACACAAAGGCTATAAGGAAGAAACTCAAATAGAGAGAAAGCTAGGTATTCCCACCTGAGCCCCTAGCCTAGGAGAAAGGCAAGCTATGAATCTAATAAATAAATGCAATTTAATAATTTACCTTCCAATTTGTCTTCTTCAAATGCAGATTCTAGGGGTGGACCAAATAATGGTGCTAGGACAGTCTGGTCTTCTGAAGTTCTTTTGCTACAGGAAAATTAGTTACTTGACATCAGCAGATGTGACAAACTGGTTAGATTTTTTTTAAAAAAAATCTTTTCCATAAAATCAAGTGTCAAACTTTTAAATGTCATTTCATATATTTACACAAGAATTGAGTTTTGTTTTGACATTGCTTGTTATAGATCTGCTATTAATCATTGCCACATCTATGTAGCAACTATGCAAGATATATTTTAATAATTAGTATCATGTCCCAATGCTTAATTCTGCTCACTAACTATTGTGTAGATTGGGTTGTCGTCCTCTCTCTCTCACTCTCTCACTCTCTCTCATTTAATGTGTATGTGTCTCTGTGCATATATTATGTACATATACATATATGCATACGCATTTCTGTGTGTGTAGTGTGTGTATGCATAAATCTGTGATATCATATTGTTTATGTATTTGGTCTACCACAGCAAATTGGGATAAAAGAAAGTTATTCAAATATTTCGATTCCAAGCCGTTTGGCACCAATCATTCCCTGTGTTTGTTCCTGAACATATTTATTAATCAAATGATATTAAAGAAATGTTAATCAATAATACTTTTCCTTTTGTAAAACACTAATGGTTCTTCTGGTATAATTTCTTCTTTGTCCAGTGTTCAGTCTTAATCATTAATAAATGACACATTTTAGGATAAACATTCAGAAAATGAATATGGTAATCCAATAAAATAATAAATCAGCTATATTTTGAATCCATTTTATTCATTTATTTGGAGTCTTATAAGTATAAATAATAGAGTAAGTATAAATAGATGGCAAGAACTGGCCCCAGTATTGTAAATTTTGTTTATACATTTCTGCCGATAGGCTGCCTTAATTCAATCATATTATTGGGCAACCAAGCTATTATATCTGTGTGAATTCACAGTCTGGTACAAGCAGATGTCCCCCCTCTCTAGAAGTTTAGATAAAAAAGGACATTGCAATATTCTTTTTCATACTCAAGATGTAAATAAAAAGGGCATGCCATTTTCCATATTGAGCCACACCCAAGGTTGAAAATTGGCCTTGAATTAGCTAAGAAAATCTATAATTTTATAGCTTTTTATAGGAAGCAAATGTAGAATTAATCTTTTAAGGCAACCAAGCATATAACAATAATCCTTCCAAAATGTCCATTTTGGGAATAAGAATCCCACATCTTTGGGCACTCAGTTTTACACTAACCTCAGAAGCTCTGGAGTAGGTGTTGAACGCCGGGGTCTTGCTATCTCTTCACCTGGCACAAAATATACATTTAAAATTATGTTCTTGGAGTACAATGTAGACAAACTGCCTGCAGACTCTTAAATAAAGTCAACTGAACAATAGGCCCCTGAAGACATGGCATTTATGCTGAACTGAGACCACAAGTATATCCCTTTTGCATAATATTGTGATTTTTGTAGCCTTTTTGCAGTCAAGGCAATTGTTTTTGCAGGAGTGTAGGAGTTATTTCTGCAAGAACAATTCTGCAGTGTTAACTCCTAAGCTATGGGATAATTCTTCTATTGACAGTAACACTCAACTTTCCTGCCTCCTGGCTCCTCAGCAATTTTCTATCATACCACCTTGCCACCATTTCATTGACTTTAAATTGAACCAAGGAGTGTTTTCTTTCTTTGCTCATAAGACATAGATAAGAATGGGAAGCTAGGGCTGAATGAAAACCAATACATGGGTTCCATGGTTGGTCAACTGGAAGGCACACTAGTAAAACTGCAGCCTGCATGAAAGGCTAATTTAATATCTTTAAAATATGATCATATGGCCAAACATTGTATAATATTAAAATTATAGTTAGGCAATCTACGTTTTTCTACTTAAGGCATACTAATACTTAATAAAAATGGCAGAAACCTAACTATGGCCCCTTAACATAATACAAGATTTCATAAATCATTCCAGATTAATTATGCCCCCCAGTCTTTCTACATATATTGTAACATTTCACATTTTAGGGCTACCTATGTGTTTTTATGAAAAAATAAATGCAATTAAAATATTTTCGTTAAATATATGTATTTTTATTAGATATATGAGAGTATCCCATAAGTTATGACTGATATTTCACTTACACCCAGAAAAAAAGGCCTATTGATATGGTTTGTGCACATTCTGCATATGCACTTTGATTTAAAATGCATCATTTTAATTTAAGACCACCAAAGACTATTAATTATATTTATGCATTTGTACAGTTCAAAGCAGTATGCAGAAGTATTCTCAATCTGTTTTGAGATCTAGTTCACAAATGTTCTGAATCTTTCTTGTTAATTAGCTGCTGCTGCTCTTTTAGAATATGAAAATTATGAAAGAAATCTACTCCATCATGGATTTTCACCAGTTAAAGTCCAATGTGTTTTTAAATGATACTTACTAGATAAGTTCCTCTTAACTGTACCCTAAAATTAAATACAGAAAACTACAGTTTAGAATTAAAGGTTTATATTTACATAAAGGGAACATTGCTCTGTTTTGAAATGCTGAAAAGCCATAGATAAATAACATTTGTAAAACAAAATATACACTAAATTGGGTTAATGCAGTACACTTTGTGGTTCCTTTGCCATTTTATTCATTTATTCATATTTACATACATCTTTTGAATAGAGCTGAGCGTAATAGTTACAAATGTATTCACACAAGAATTTTACACATACTCAGTTTGCCAAGAAGTCCTAGACAACATGTTTATAGCCCCAGAGCTAGATAATACATTCATAAAATCTCATTTGCTTGTATATTGGTTTATGTCCAATTTTTTAAACTAAAAATCTGTAATATTGAAAAAGATGGGGAAAAAAATAGAAACAGAAAACCGAACACTCGGGAAATATAAACATAAACAGGACGTATCTATGCAAAAAGTGATCTTATATATTCTTCTGATAGCTCGTTATACTTTATATATCAGAATAGAGGGTGACAGAGGATCGGATCCAGAATGGTTATTCTGACCATTTCTGCATGTGTTTTTCAAGGCGGATCTTTTCTTTTCAAATCATATTCCATGAAATATTTTAACATCAGAAAATGAGGCCATAACGTCACCTCCAAGGAAAAGGGAAGATCAAGAGGAACTGAATGATCAAGAGTTCAATAGGGAAGGTTTTAAAGAGAATAAAATGGGAAATATTTCTTAACCAACGAGATTCTTATTAAGCTTGGCAGGAATTGTTATCTCCTAAACACTCTCTGCAAGTTATGTGAGGCATATTCCCCAAATAAATTTAAATTAATCCTGTCTTAAATTACCCATTGTCATTTACCCAACTGTTTCAAGATGAATTCATGACCTACCGGGCTGCGTCTCTGTGATCAGCAAAAAAGAAGAGAGAACAGATACCTAGTCAGAGAGTGAAAGATCAGTAATAAAAATGGCTTTGGATGGTAGGAGATCTTCTAGCTTTACAAAATATTAATTTCAAAACTATTTTTCCTCAAACCGTTGTCTTCCCAAATCCACTTAAAGTCTTGGGCCTGTTTAAATTTGATTTTAAAAATGAACCTATACTATGAAGATATTTGCTGGAACAACATCAACAGAAAATCCACATTTGCTTATTTTTATCCCACATATTAATTGTTAAAAGATTATTATAGATCTAACATTAATAAAAATGTTACAGATCTAAAGTTAATTAAAGTTTTAAATTAATCAAAAACCGTGTCCTCTTTCTTTATATATTTTGGGCAGTTCAGGAGACTGGCCTGACACATTTGCAATTACTTCCAGTCTTTCTTTGGAAATTCAAAAATATGTGCATACATTGTCAGCTTCTTATATTTTTAAAAATTGCCAATTATTCCTTGTGCTGGAAAAGGCTGATACTATGGAGCTAAATATTCTACCTTTTCTTTTTCTTTTTTTCTGAAAAACAGAACACTTTGGATGTTGTCAATATTCACATATACCTATTATTACTCTACATAACTTTTACCTTATGTTTCATTCTATTTATCATATCTGTAGTTATGTTTTTGTTAGTCTTTATGTCCTGTCTAGTTGCGATTCGTCAGCTCGTTGAGACCCTTATTCTGCCAAAATAGTGAAAATCTGTTATTTCTGATCTATTCACTGTGTGAGTGGTTTGAGACAGTATGCTTTGCTTTTAGATTATACCATATAATACAAACTATTATTTATATCATGTATGTTATGTAAAAAAGAATCATATACAAAACTCTCATATCTTTTTAATATTGTTGCATAAGCAATATCTAATAAGTTATTCATGGAAGAGTCTAATTTTGCCATTGAACTATGCTAATATATCTCCTAGTCTAGAAGAGTATGTTTTTATGAGAGTGATAAACTGGTCAATCTTTAGTAACAAAATTAATTTGGAATAGGACACTTGCTGTGTGAATTTAGTGCAAATTCTCTATAGATTCTCTGCTGGACAATTTTGAAGCTGCTGTGCTTTTTTCATTTCCTATCCTTGCTTCTTCTGCCTTTAAAGACATTTAGTAAGAATATTTCAGTGCTTTATTGTGTCAAACTTTGAACCTATCTGGCCCAGATTTTACAGGCTAAATATTCTTTAAAGAATCTTCTATCTATGCTATTTTTTAATGGTATTTAATCTTCAAATTTTTTATCAAGCTGTACCTCAAACGTTCAAAGTGAATTTTGTTACCTTTGAATCTCACGTCTAAAATCCTCATGGATTGCCTATTTATTCTAACAACTTTAGAAGGTCAATTAGTTTGAGGAGCAACCATGTGGTCTGCAGACCAGCTGCTTGCATGGATAACACGGTCCCTGCTTCTTCAGGGAAAGCAAATGGTTCAAGTAGCATGCGGCCATTTTTTATTTCCCATTAGTGCTGCTGGCAATATGTGGGGAAGAACTGTGCTTCCTTCTCAGAGCCTCTCTTCCCCAAATTCTCCTTCGTTTATTCCTTCTTGTGAAATGACCTGAAGATGAACAACCTGACAGCACTACCTTCCCAGATATTACAAAGTATATATGTATATACATGTGCATGTACACAAACACACACACACACACAAACTATTTACATCCAATAGCATGAGAGTATTAGGGAATAAGAAGGCTTCTTACCGGACTTTTCCTCTGCAAAATGCATTAAGATAAAGAAGAGAAAAAAATAGACATTTTCCACTTACATAATCCATGGAAAAAATAATGAAATGATACATTAAATATTTTACAGAACAGTCCTAAAGACATCTATTCAAAAATCAATTTTAATTAAATTCACTTTCAAAAGTTCCATATGTAACTATGAAAAGACTAAAAGTTTTTTTACTGTCAGATTGTTCTCAGCTTAACTGGGTTCAGATCTTTTGTGTACCTATTTAGATGCAAGACATATTGTATTCAATGAGACTAACTCACAAGTAATGACGTATAGCTTTGCAGTCAGAAACTATTACACAATTTAATTGAGAACAAAACTTACTGATTATGTATTGGAACAGCACATTTCCTTTGGTAATCAAATAGAATCCAATTAAAATTCAACAGACAGCTCTAAATACTAATTTAGAGAGATGAAATGAAATCTTTCCTGCAGTTTCATTTTCAGTCCACAATTATCTGTTTGCCATCTCCATGAGGTATGAGATGAGTTAGTTGAGAAGGCAGTTCTTCTTTGTCAAAATGCCACAAAGGGTTAAAACTAACCTGATCTTTTCTAGCATGTGTCAGTTCCAAATTATTTTCCCCTTTCTTTTTCCTTTTAAATAGTGTAGGACCTTAAAAATGTTACTTGCTCCCAAGTGCTCCCCCATATTTTTTCTATGTTTGAGCAGATGGTCATTATCTAAAGTAGACTGTGGAGTACAGCAAAGCCTTGCTAAGTCTATTAGACTAATTAGGAAGAAGGAAGGAGAGAAATAGGGCACATTTGTCTTCTCTTCTCCATCTAACAGTGTTGAATTATTTGGGCATAAATTCTCAATGATGAAGTTGGCAGTGTAAGCATCTCACAAAAATTATTTTGTTAACACATCACCTTGAAGAACAGCTCATAAACATTCATCACACAGAAACACACACCATAATCAGATTTTCTTGGTAGAAAAATAATGCATCACTCAATGGTTTATAATACATTATTGAGATAATCATAATGTTATTAAGAAGAGCAAATAATTGTTATTATTGCTTTATTTAACATTTATTTCATAACATTTCAAGCCAACCTTGCTATAGCCAGTGAGTCATGATTTTATAACAGTGATGTTTGAGGCAAAATTTTAAGATGGGCTTATGTTTCTTGTATTTGCAAAATAAATTCAATAGCAACGATGTCTGAAAAAAAGTTTTAAAATACCGTAACTCTTCTGCTCTCTAATCTGTTTAAACAAAGGCAGGATAAATCCCATTATAGAAAGAATTATAGTCGATAGATATGCTGCAACCATCATCCATATATCCCCTCAAAGTCATATAAAGTGAGAATGACTTTTTCTTGAACAATAAAAGGAATATACAGAATATATGCTTTGTACCAGCCTTTCCTTTTACATTTTAACATGGCAATTTTTCTCCATTTCTGCACAAACAGAGCTGGAGTAATTTCAGTCCTGCTATTGGTTTGGCTCTAATCTTTTCAGGTTCTGATTTCTGGCAAGAAACAGAGACTCACAGTGGATTTTCAGCTTATGAGACACCTAAACTAAATTAGCATCACTAAGAGTCATATATTCAGGAGAAAAAGAAGAAAATGCTAGTTATATAATCAGCTCTATGGGAGAAAACAACACTTTGGATTATAGCATTTCACTTTGCTCCAAAAAATATAGTACTTTTAAATTTAAATTGATTATATCCAGACCTTTGTGAATGACATGACTTTATTTTTAAAGGAAACCAGCATTTTAAAAAGTGTTCTGTTAGAGAAAAAGGTATAACAATTTTAGGACATTTCATATTTCCCCACTGTATTGTTCTCATGCTGTTATACGTAGCTTTTCAACTCCTAGAACAGTTTTAGAAGAAGCTGCAGGGAAAGGAGAACATATTTTTTTCCAAATATATTAAATTCTATTTAATGTACATCTGGGTCTAAACTTATTAGATATATGTATGAATGATCTAAGCACACTTTCCCATACATAATATGTAATTCTCTCTTCCTACTATAAGTCAATTAAATCGGGATACTACAGAACTTCTAGACCACCATAATAATATTGCAATTACTATTTACTTTGTAATACTATCTGAACACTAGGTTTCAAACAATTTGCCTCACTAAAATTGTTTCCAGCTCTGTATTACAAATATGTTGCTGGATTCTATGTTGTTAATGCCAAATGATAGAAGAAACAAATCCACATAGTTTCTTTAACTGAAAATTTGTAAGCTTTATGAAATTATGTCAAGTGCAACTTTATTATTTACTACTAATCATTTCTTATAAGTTCAGTAACTGATAGTAACCAGGGGCCAATTGGGGGAATGTTGCAACCATCCTTTTTTGTACTGTTGTCTTTTCCACAAAATAATTGTGAAGCTACTATTATTACAAGACTGATAAACTTGTAGACTTGCAGTTCATTTGCATAATTTTTGTGAAGGAATGTTATTAAAATGGTTAATGTCTAAAGTAGATATATAACTATCTATCTGATGAAGAAATCACCCCATTGAGTCATAGTTGAGGCAATTAGAAGCTAACCACCTGTGTGGGATGAAAGTCAGTTCTATTTAGTGTTTAATGAACTAATCATCAGATGAAGCAGAAACAAATCCTAATGAAAAATCCTGGGTCAATATACTGTTTGAGTAGTTTGAGTATTAAGCTTGAACTGCTTAATATAATTCATCCTCAGGTATCGGTCCAAACAGTACAAACGCTCTCTAAGAAGGAGTTCTGACATAAGACCACTGGATTTATCTTTTCAGTTTACTACTGTATATTATATTTATTCATGTGCATTTTTTCCAGGATGTCAGCCATATGCTGCGTTGGAGAAAGAGGGCACTGCTTTGAGGAAGTGGAAAGATTTCTTAGGATGATGAGCAGGTATTCATTTTTGAAAATGGTGTTTTTGATAAGAAATAGAGTTATACGTATCTAGAAACCTGAATGGATCACCAGATGAGTTGGCTAACTGATGTAAGAGTTAGAAGGCTAGCACATGTCATCTATATAACTTGACAGTGTTCAGAAGCAATGATCACAATACACATCTCTATTAAAGACACTGACACACCCCAATGTTCTTATGTAATTCAAGAAGTCCTACATATATGTACATATGTATATGTATATGTGTAACTGGAAGTTGAAAGCTCTTTTCTCTGAAATGATACTTATTCCACATGTAGGACTACCTAGCTGTTTTTTTTTAAATTAAGAAATATCAATATTTTGGTAAGAAAATTATGTTTGGAGTTGAGTATTCAATTTGTTAGGGACGGAGAACATGTATGTGTTTCACTTTGAGAGCGGGCGACTAAATTTCATTTTTGATGTGTGCCGTTGTGCCCACAGTAAAAAAAATGACAATAAAGGTTATCTATCTTATCTCTTCAGGATAAGCAGCAACTATGCAAAAGGGACAATTTCCATATGAACAAAAATAATGTCTAACAATATTTGTTATTTGTCATGCTTAATAATACCAAATCTTTCATGTTTAACCTGAAAAAGGTGACAACATATGTTTTATATTGTCCTACAGAGGTGGGGTGGGGTTGAGAGAAATAAATGCTAAGAAGTATCCAGTTTGAGATGAATCTCTTTGGAATCTAAAAGAGAAAACTGATCATCCATATGGGTTCAGTGGGTAACAGGACACAAGCATAGAGCATGTTAGTCAACCAAAGTGATCAAATAGTTATACAGAAAACTTGTATTCCTAACCATACCGGGGTAGAGACAAATCTAGCCTGGGAACACTAATAGTATTAATTTCAAGCCAAGAGTGGAAAAGTGAAGGTTTAATTTTAAAGAATAGAGATACAAAAGTCATAACCAAAAGCACAGAATGCAGTCATCTCTGAACACATATAGGCTAAAGGAAGGACATACTGAGACAGTGCTATAATAGGGAGCATCTTGTCACTCTAGACCAGTGATTCTCAACCTTTCTAATGCCGTGACCCCATAATACAGTTCCCCATGTTGTGGTGACCCCCAAGTGGGTGTGGCCACCAGTAAGAGGGAGTAGGACAGCTAGGGAAAAGGGAAAAAAATGGCAGACAGCATGGTTTGGCGACCCCCGTGAAATGGTCATTTGACCCCAAATGGGGTCCCGACCCACAGGTTAAGAACCACTGCTCTAGACATTGCCAACAAATTGGCCATCTCCCAGAATGGGTCTTGAGAATTCTTGTCATGTTAAACTTCTAGAAATAAAGCTTTACACTTAACATTATAGGTACATTATTCAGGTCCCGGTAATGCTACCCATCACTTCTACATCTCACAAAGATTCTTCATTCTTCATCTTTTTATCCTGGATCTCTTTTGGAAATTGGAAACCCAATTTCCAATAACTGAGATAAAAATAGGAGAGCAAACAACTCAGTTTAATTTTTTAAAAATCTCTGTTGTGGCCATTTCATGACTATTTTTTTTAAATAAAAAGTTTTTTATTTTTCATTTATTCATACAAAATACAATTCAATTAAAATAAATTCCTAACCATTGGTACCGCCTGCCCATTCCCCCCAGGCCGCGTCCACCCTCTCTAATCCTTCCCTACTTCCCTCCTCTTTCTCTCCTCCCCTCCTACTCTCTTCCCCTCCTCTTTCCTCTAACCATCCTACTTCCTCCCTGCTCCTTCCCCCCCCCTCATCCCTCTCACACACAATTTCATGACTATTTTTAATATGGCCTCTTATTTCTCTTTCAAATGCTTTTCAAAATACTACTACTACTACTACTACTACTACTACTAATAATAATAATAATAATAATAAAGTTGGAAGGGACCTTGGAGGTCATCTAGTCCAACCCCCTGCTCAGGCAGGAAACCCTATATACCATTTCAGACAACTGGCTGGCCAGCCTCTTCTTAAAAACTTCCAGGGTTGGAGCATTCACAGCTTCTGGAGGCAGGTTGTTCCACTGATTAATTGTTCTGTCAGGATTTTTTTTAAAATATAGATGATATCTATGTCATGTATTTATTTCTAAAACCATAATAGCAGCATGGAGAGAAAATTGCTGTAACTTCTTTAAAATGTTCTCTAAAAGATCTGTCAAAAGCATGAAGTAGCTATGGAAGTCATGATATTTTTCAACATATCTTGAATCCAAAATGTTTTTAGGAAGCCCTTATGCTGTGAAATATGCTGTTTGGAAGAGATGAATAACATAAACTGATTGTATGGCACACCTGGAAAATAAGCAAAATACAATCTGGGAAGTCTTAGGAAGTAGCAAATTAAAAATATGTTGCTTACCACTGGTGAAGGTGAAAGTGCAATGTTGCCTATAGAAGCTTTCAGTTCATCAACAGTTGCTGCGCTCTTAAGAGTGTCTTTAGATTGCAAAGGTTTAATCTTAATGTTGAATTTCTTATGTGCCTCCTCTTCCTCTTCAGATTCACTTGAAGAATAAAAGTGCTTTCCTTTGGTAGGTAGAGCACAGTTAAAGAGAAGTGCAACCAATCTGTAGACTACAATACAACGTTATTTCAGTTTCAGGATAGACCTATCAAGGCACCAGTTTTAAATGAAGGGTATGATTCCAGTGGCGTACAATACAATTTTAGTACATTACAGTACATAAGTTGGAAGCAAAGCTCTAAACTTAGAGGGAGAAATCAGACACTGCTCCAAAGAGCCTTGAATATGGTCCATTGTAGAGGGCTCTCCATTATGGGAGCAGATGGCATCTAGAATCAGGCAATCTCTTCCCAGGGGCACAATATATATTTACAAAGAACATAGAACTAAAAATGCTAATAACATTTGAATCCTACTCTTTTTCTCTCTGTTGGGATTTTTTTTTTCTCTTCAATATCAGAGAATTCAGACATTGGGAAGATTACATGACTGAGTTTTGAGCTGGGAATTCTGGCAGGTGTAGCTAGAAGTTGCACATTAAAAATAAAGGATATAGCCTAGTTCTTCTGGTCTGGTGCTGTATCCTTCTTCATCAAGTTCAGGTGAATTCTGGTGTGGCAAATACAGTGAAGGAGTCAAAGTATAAACATTCTTTTCTTTTCCCCCATTTCCTCAAAAATCTCATTAATGAGGCATTTACTTATTTATTTTGAGAATTTATAAGGCCTCCAAATTAAAAAAAAAACCACTACAACAAAAATAAACATTAACAGAAAAGAAACCAACCATATATCATTAAAAAGTAACCTAACATATACATTCTAGGCATAATCATTCATACCTTATCTGGACTATTGCAATGAACCCTATATGTGGGACTACCCTTAAAGCTACAGCTGGTCCAAAGAGTGGGAGCAAATAGTTATGGGTCCCTCTCAATATGTCCATGTAATACCACTGTTGTACTAGGTGCACTGGATACCAGTGGGTTTTCAGATACTATTCAAGGTGCAATGGTTGCATATAAAGCTCTACCTAGCATAGAAATTGGTGATTCAAAGGACTATCTCTCCAATTTCTCCAAATATTTGCAATATAGTTTTGCTTCCAAATCAAATGGGCCAAGTGTTCATAGACACATGAAACACTAGATGGGGAAGACTAGCAATTTATTTGCTCTTCTGTTTGTGCAGAGAGGAAGCAATGTTCTTTTTTAGGCACAGCTCTGATAAACTAAGGGAATGGACAAGGTCCTTAGTTATTTCTAGCTTGGAAGGATAACCATTGATCAATGAGCAGTTTGCAGTTTTCTTCGCTCAGTTCTTGGCCAGAGAGGTGAAATAACCGTGAAGTGTTGCCTCACAGAGTTATAAACATGACTGCACTTGTATTGGTCTGATGTCCAAACAGATCTTAAGTCAGTGAATACAGCTCAAATCAACCTTGGATTTCTTTTAAACTGAACTGAGTAGGGATGAGAGAAAGCAAGTTGGTTATGTGGGAAAGTCCTAAATTTCTGCCCAAGTGAAGCTAGATTTATTTATTTAGTAAATGTGTGTAGCCACTCAACTCACATATTTCAACTCCTTCTAGCCTTAGTTTTTGCTAGAGGGTTCCAAAAAGTAGTTGAATTCTCACTGACCACAAATTTGGGGGAGAGTCCATTGCCATTTCTTAACTTTTCAGCATTCCAAACAATTAGCAGATATGTATTCAGTTTGGGAACCTTTCAATACATCAGTTGGTGGAGATTATTAGCAAGGGCAAAGATAGACATGGCTGATCTCTTCTTTACATAACCTATTAGATTCATGGGGGAAAAAAATCAATCCAGGCCAACTGCAGGGATGTATCTGGTAAGTGGATGTATTAGCAACATACTTTATACGCAGGTATTGTTACTGATTTTATGCTGATATGATAGGATCAGCTAAAAATATAATTCATAGTCACTATGACACAATAATAAACATGCAAATAAGTAACCGAGTCTCACTGGAACAAAGAATGTCTTAAAAGACTGCTGTCAACAATGGTTTTTTTTTATTACTATTACTTACATATCTTTCCCAGTCAATTTCTGAATAAAATCCATTTGGAGCACCATTTGTTCTCTTCTGTAATACATAGTTTAAACAATGGTTTTGTTGTTATAAGAGGAAAAAAATTAAAATGCTATACTTTCTTAGAATACATGAAAAAGTCAATGTTTTCAAGGGAGGAATGCCCCAACATTGATCAGTCCATTACAAATAACTAAAAAGGCCATTCCAGGTTCTTTATTTCACATCTGGAAAGCAACTTTCCATTCTTGAATTCCAAAGCTGAGAACCAGTGTAGGAATTGTAAGAAAATATTATAATTTTCATTGGCAGAGTACAGTATAAGACAACTATGCAAGAGATGATAAGTCAGTGGCAAAAGTCCCAGATTTAATTCCTGCCACCCTGAGTCATAGGCTCATATAGCAGGTTTGTAGATGTCTTAGCCTAAGACCCTGAAGTCACTGAGAGAAAGAATGCTGAGTTATCCAAATATAAATGGTTAAATTCTTGGCTCATAACACACCAGACCTAACTGTGATTGAAATGAAGAAAATGCGGATAATTGATGTGGCAATACTCGGGGATAGTGGAATAGAAGACAAAGAATTGGAGAAGATCACAAAGTATAAAGATCTGAAAATTAAAATCAAAAGATTAGAGCGTAACCAGCCATGATGGTCACAATTATTAGTTAATTCTCCCCCAATCCTTTTATTACAAAGCACTAATTATTATCTAAACATAATTAGGTATTTCTATACTTTATGATGCTAGCCTAGAAAGCAGGAGTTCCAGTCCCGCCTTAAGTATGACAGCCAGCCAGGTGACTTTGGGCCGGTCACTCTCTACCATCCCAACCCATTTCAAAGGTTGTTGTTGTGGGGAAAATAGGAAAGGAAAGGAGTATTAAGTATGTTCACCACCTTGAGTTATTTATCAAAATAATAAAGGCAGGATAAAAATCAAACAAACAAATATGAACATACAGTGGAAACACATAAGAACCATCCATGGTTGCCGCAGTGGCTATTGGCACACTGGATGCCATACCAGACAACCTTAGAGAGCACATAGAAAATCTGTTCATTGACAACAATCCACCTGTCAATTACAAAGAGCTACACCACTTCGACTGCAGTTTGTGTAAAAGCGAAGAGCTAATCATTCTATCTAGAACACCAATGGTGAAAGTACATTGAAATATCAAACATGCATTTGTGTATTTTAAAAGAAAAACAAAACTGTTGCAGTTTCAACATTATTGTAACCAACCCACTTGAAGCTTTAAGCCAATATTCACATTCTTACCGAAACTGCTTTTCCGCCTTCCTGGGCACATTCTGGTTTGCTATTGTAGGATGGATCATGAGGATGAGGGCTGGGTGGCTGGAATGGATTTTGTTTTTTATAGAAAAAAGGTTAAAGTGTTTGGTGGTTTAACTTAAAAAAAATACATGAAACCACATGGAGTAAGCAAGCTGAAAATGCACTTTCTGAAGGCAATATTTGCCAAATTAATGTTGCTATCAGCAGATTATTTTGGAACATACAGTACTGCTCCATTCAGCAGAAGTTAGTCATTGTAAGGGAATTCAGTTGAAAGCTATCATGATTTTAAATACCATCTCATGGTCTATTAACTGAACTTTGGATTGCTATGTATTTGAAAACCAAACCTTCCTTCATTTTTTTTCATCAGTCAATAACTTTTTCAATTTTGTATTTCAATGCACTATATCTTTTCCAATTAAACTGGACAGGTCAATCTTAGGAATAATTTAACTGAGCCATCTTTGAACTATCTAAAAGGGATGTGATCCTAAATTCATCCTGTTTGTCTATAAGAAAAAAGGTCAATAGTATTTTGATGTTAGGTAAGTTTTGAATAGTTGCAGGAAAGATGGTATTTTCTTATGACTAGAAACTGTAGTCATGGATGGTATTGGGTTGTTACTCCAAGATGGGATAAAAACTGTAAAAAAAAATTGGAAGTCTGTTTTGTAATAATGGAGATGCCATGTCCAGAAACTTGCAATTAATCCCTGAGTTTACAAAATAAACACCTTTTCTTAGATTTAGGATTATCAACAATATCGAACTTTGAAACTAGGAACCAAATTCAACCTGATGGGAAGTCCACTGACTGGAATGTAGCCCCAATCATCCTACTCAGAGTAAACATGTCCCACAAAACAAGAAAAGTTCTTATACCATTTTAAGAGACCTTTAACACATATTGCATAACTATACAATAGCAAATTATGTCATTTGAAAGAGTGCAAAATGATTAGATAAGAATAATCTTCAGTTTCAGGCTTGATAGATCCCTTTGTCATTTTAAGGTTTACAGAAATATGATTTTGCTTGAAAAGGGAAAGATGGGAGGAGCGGAAAACTATATGAGCACATTATCAGTATGGCTGATTTAATGGAAACTATATCTGTCTGAGTCAATGCTGGTCTATGACTTTAATAAAGGTTTGATTTGATTTAAATTGTGTGAGCCAAATTCTAAGTCGTGTGGAAAAAAAAGTCTAAGTCGTGTTTTGCTGTTAAAAAATAATCCACTAACCAAAATTGCAGAAAGTGGGAAGTTAAAATAGATCAAGACATTGAGTAGTGGCAGGGAAGACTTACTCTTTCCCCCATTTATTTCTTCAGTATAAACTGTTTGTCTCCCCAAGTTGCTAGTAAATTACGGCAAAGGCAAAACACAGATTGTAGGGTATTTGTAAGAAGATAAGGAGGGCAAAGGACAACACATCTGTTGTGACATCATCATGCAAATGATCTGACTTCTGTATTTGCTTCAAACATTGAGATCCAAGAACACAACTGTTCCTTCTGTGTGACAAAGTCATGGTGCACATGCTATATGCAAAACCTATGGGCTCCACTTTCAGAATGATGTAGGCAAGCTGGAATGTGTTTAAAGAAAGAAGGACTGTATTTTCTTGCCTCTGTGTCTAATAGCAGCTCCAGGAAAGCTACCACCTTTTTCTTATGCTTAGATCAGTGGTGGTTAAACTGGGGATAATTATCCAAATTGATAATTTGGCATATCTTGGGGACAATGGAACAATTCATAATTGCTTGTTTGTGAGTTGAGGATCTGGATTGAGACAACTACTACTGAGATGCTTGTGTAAAACAATAGAGCCCTTTTTTATGGAAGTAATGACTCCAACTGGTGCAGAATGCAGCTGCATGGATAGTAAATGCTGCCAGATATATGGCACACGTAACACTACTTCTGTGTGAACTGCACTGGTTACTGGTGCGTTTCCAGGTGCAATTCAAGGTGTTGGTGGATTGCCTTTAAAGCCTTACATGGCTTGGGACCAGGGCATCTGAGGGAAAATCTTTTTTCAAGAGTCTCTACCTGTCTAACCAGGTCGAGCAGAATGAGCATGCTGTAGATCCCATCAGTCAAAGAATGACAGCTGGCAGGACCAGAACATGAGCTTTTTCTGCAATGCCCCCTGCTCTATGGAACATTTTTCTTTCAGAGATCAGAATGACCCCAAACCCTGTTAGCTTTTCATAAGACCTGTTGTTAACTAGCCAAGTATCTTGCTCCTATGTATATTTCACTTTGACGTGTTTAATGATTTTATTGGTTTGACTGTTTTTATTGTTTGTAAACTGCCCAGATTCGTTGACTGAGATCAGTGGCCATAGAAATAAATTGATTGATTGAATGAATGATTGAATGAATGAATGAATGAGATTAATCAAGACTGGGAAAAGGTGTAATTCATCAAACAGTTCAAGAACCACTAGTTTATACTATCAGTACAGAGTAGTCTGCAGTACAAATGGGACCTAAGGAATGAATCAGCTTGCAAGTTAGGAAAGTCTATGTCTTTTTTCTTCTTCTTCTGCTGAACAGAGCTTTGATCAAACTGTTAAACATAAGTGTTCCAGGTGTGGTCTACTTTTGTTTAAAAAGAAAAAAAACTAAAAGCAATGAGCGGACACAATGGGGATGCAGAATGATGTGTAGATGCCAGCTTTTTTCAACCTGTGATTGCAGCTACAAGCATTTCTACCCAATTCGGTTCTTCTGAAATCACTGTTATTGAGCTGGAAAGGAATTAAGTTAGGGTGGGAGGATTAAGGATCTTGGGTCAGATGTTCAAAAACTCAGGCCAGTAAAAATTGTATTAGGACCTTTCCAGAAGACAAAGCTCACTCTCATCTAAGATCACTAGTAAGAAGTGTAGCTGTAAGGAAGCAAAAGATACCTTACTTCACAGAAGATACTTTTTAAAAAAGGTATCTAGAAGGCATGCACTTCTATATTAATAAAGCCTTCCGAACTAAGCACTCAATTAAAAGAAACCATTTTTATAATAGACGATTACTTTAAAAAGGAAATAAAAACATGCTTTATGTTTATCACTTCTTAAAAAGGATAAACACATGGAATTCTGTATTTCTGTATTGTGTAAGGGATTACAGAAACTTTTTTTTTAAAAAAAGGAATGGGAAAACCTTTCAATCAGGAATCATAAAATAATAGGTAAAGTATGCTGGTCATTAATAATGAGACAGTTTTATATGATTCAGTCCATAATTCAACCAATACATCATTTCCCCCCAAAACAAGAAGAACATGCCAGCTAGAAGAACCCACATTCTCCAGTGACATAAACATGCTGGAAAAATGCTTTTTTTTGGACATCAATTGGACTTCATGAATCCAGCTCATAAGTTCATTCACTGTTCAGAAAAGTATCATCTGGAAAGGCCCTTAGGACTCATAATTTCTGGGTCTTCATTTGTTTGTGAAGATCTATTGAGCACTAGTCAACAATTACCCCCATTTTTTTCTTAGATTTTTCACCAGATAAATATGAGAAAGTCTTCTAAAACCAGGAATCAATATAGAACAAAGGTAATTTTGTATCTGAGCCCAACATTCTTTATTGCAAACATAAAGTCTAATAGCCGAGGTAAGTTTCTTTCTAGCATATATGAAAATCCTGAACCATAAAAGACAGCAACGATAATTTAAGAGCAGCCCTTCTTTCCTATTTCTGTTTTCCTCTGGTTGTGATTACCTTCAGTTCATTTCCTCAATTGCAAAAACTGATTTTCCAATTTTAAATCTTGATATGGTATTTTAATTTTTTTGTATATTGTTCAATGCAGTAATTATTATTTCATATGGGAAGATTTTGTGGAAAAAATATTGCAAGAAAAAGATTTGTCTGCAAATTTGAAGAGGAAACTGGATTCAAGTAAAATCAGAATATATTGAAAATCATAGTTTTCAATATAATTCTAATTTAGAATATAGAATATTCTGTATCAGGCATGTCAAACTCGCAACATCACGTGACATCAATGGGGTGGGCCGGCAATGGGGTGGGCGCAGTTTCGGTATGACGCATCTGGCCTGTGGGCCGGCAGTTTGACATGCCTGTTCTATATCAACTATAGAATATAGTTAATATATTCAAAGTATTAAAATAGAAATAAGGAAGAAGATTTAAGAAAGCTTAAGGCATATTTTCTATTGAATATACCTAATTCAAAATAAAGGCTAATTTCAAAAAGAAATATCTTTAAAACTTACAGTTCCATCTCGGTCTGGTGATCCTCTGTAATAAAATAAAAATACGTTCCATTACTATAAAGAACCCAAAAATCTACATTAATTTAATTATCACCACTGCTCAGTAAAATAGCTGCACTGAAAATGATCATACTTTTTTAAAATATACTTTTAAAAATGTTCCCATTTTTTTGCCTATTACTTGGTCCCATATACAGTACTTTGTAAATGAAGATAAGGTGTAATATAAACAAAAGTCAGGCAGAGCTTAGGGATACCAAATTTGATATGTTACTTTGAATCTTCTCACTTAAATAACATTTGATTAGGACCTCAAATACCTTTCAATTCATACAGATTGAAATGGATTTTTTGCATAATTCAGCTCTCTCTCTTAAACCACATTTTCTAGCGGTTGATGCAGATTTTTTTCTTCCTTCCTTCCTTCCAATGGCATAAACAATAACATAACCTTATAATAGGCCTTATACATGGAACAGAACGAACTGGAGAATGAATTTCAAAAAATTGTAAAATTAATCTGATGGAATGAGCTGCAGCTCACGAAGGCTGATGTCATTAATAACATTAGTTATCAGAAATTTTGGGGGTTTTTTTCCCAGTAGTTTTTAAAACTCTTATACTTTTGTGGATAGAGAATTTGGGATCTGAATTCAATGACCATGTTTAAATTCATTTAGATAATTTCAGCTGACAGCCCTAGACTTACAATCTGCATTAGTGATGCAGATAGTCTGCCTCAACTGTTTTGTGGGCCTCCTTAATCTGATGCTAAGAAATAGCCTGTGTGCTAACACCAATTGGACATTTGATTTCTTAGTTGATTTGCCTCCACTATTTTCCTTTTTTAGTCCACATCCATACATATGCAAACATACAAACACGTGCGTGTTTTCTATATTTAAACTACTGCCTCGTATATTCAATAGGCTGAAAAGTCCAGGAGTTTCCATGCACTGAATGGGGCTCCCCCTTGTCACTTTAAGTGGATCTTATGAATAGTTGCAAAGCATCTTCCTCTAGTACAGTGGTTCTCAACCTTTTTAATGCCGCGACCCCCAATGGTCATAAGTCGAGGACTACTCAACCGGTCGTAAGTCGAGGACTACTCAACTGGTGCAGCACTGTTTGCAGAATGGGACTTTTGGTGGGCTCAGCAGGGCAGAGACAGCCTGGACAATTCCTATTGGCTTTTGAAAGCCAATAGAATTAAACTCTATTCAAGAGAGCCTATTCTATTGGCTTTCAAAAGCCAATAGAATAAAAGGGAGTAGCACAGCTAAGGAAAAGGGGGGGAAAAATGGCAGACTGCGTTGTTTGGCGACCCCCATGAAATGGTCGTTTGACCCCAAATGGGGTCCCGACCCACAGGTTGAGAACCACTGCTCTAGTATGTTACTAAGGAATTTAGTCAAATCACATCCGTAGTAAAGTTTTAGCTCTTATGTGAAACTTGGCCTCACATTTTGGGCAGGACATAACAGAACTTTCCAGAACCATTGAAAACAATACTGTAGGTCAGGGGTGTCAAACTGCCAGCTCACGGGCTGGATGCATCATAGCGAAACCATGCCCACCCCATAGCCAGCAATGGCAAAAAAAGTCGTGATACGTCACGACACGTCATGTGACATTACGAGTTTGACACCCCTGCTGTAGATAATCAGCATGGAGAATCCTAAAGGAATTATTCCCGCCTTTAGTTTATTCCAGCTTTAACCTATGCATATACTTAACAAAGCAGAATAGAGATGAAAAGTGGGACAACGGATAATATTTCTTCTATTCTGCACATTTAAACAATTTGGTGGGAGGAGGTGATGCATCCAACAGATTTGATAAACTACTCCTTAATTTTAATCTACAGAAATTACTTTATTTTATATATTATTCAAAAACATGATTTAAATCTTGTCAAATAAACATAATTAAAGGCACTTTATCAGCAATAACCACAGTACTCTAAAAGCTTGGTGCAGGATGATGGAAAGCATTTTCACATATGTCAAAATGCAAAAATTCTTATGAATCTCCTTGAGGTCTCCATTTTCCATTTTTTTTTTTTTAGCTTTTCTGATATTTGCTATGAAACTTTTCAAGGAAAAAAAGGTGGGGGAAAATGTCTTTGAGAAACAGAAAGCAGCAATAAACTTAAAATATTTTTTTCCTTACACATCATCCAGGAACAGCTAAGTACTGCACCATGGGAAACAGTTTCATTTCAAAAACTCTTCTAAACCAATAATAGAATCCTGTGATATAACAAGACAATTTTTCATGGACATCTAACATCAGCTTTCTTTTTTGAGAATTTGGCTTCTACCTTCTGTAAGTCTCTATATTGACAGAGTTGAAAGAATTCAATCAAACTTTCAACCTTCATCCCTTTGGCAGTTTAGATGAAATATAGTCATCCTATCAGGGACTCAGCTTTTGAGAAATGAGTAACTGTTTGTGTAAAACAGCCTCATTTACGAAACAGTTCTAGTTATATATTTGTGTGTTTACAATTCATATTGATAGAAGCCACCCACCCAACTAAAAATTACTTTGAATGACAAACAATTAAAAATAAATTCAAAATCACAAAAACGAAAATGTGGTATATCCTAGATCAGTGATGGCGAACCTTTTAGAGACTGAGTGCCAAAAAACTGGAGCCGCCCCTCCTCCGCCCCCACTCTGCCTGCAGGGCCACTCACTGCCTCCAGGGCCCACCGCAGATCACTCAGGCAGCCCAGCAGCACCATGGCGACAATGCCCTCTGCCAGCACCCTGCAGCATCAACTGTGCCCGATGGGGCATGAGGGCAGAGTCTTGTCTACGCTGCCTGATTGCCATGTCCTTAGCTGCTCTGCTCTGTGTGGGCCACGCTTGGGGGCAACTCTCCTCCAGGGAGGCTGCTGGTGAGGAGGGGGTCGTCAGGGAGTCAAGACAGGGGCAATAGCATGTGTGCCCACAGAGAGGGCTCCGAGTGCCACCTCTGGCACGTGTGCCATAGGTTCGCCACCACTGTCTTAGATAAAGAGATGAAAATAACACCAACTAAAATAATTCATGGTATATAAAATTGCCATCAAGGGACATACTCCCAACTCAGGACCTTGAATCAGTTCAAATTGTGGTTAAGTCACCAAGCTAGAAAGCAGGAGACCATAAGTTCAAGTCCTGCCTTCGCCATGAAGCCCATCTGGGGAACTTTAGGCCAGCCACTCTTTCTCAGCCCAAACCACCTTACAGGACTGTGGTTGTGTGGAAAATAGGGGAAGATGTGGTGGATATGTTTGCTGCCTTGAATTTATTTATTTATTTTTATTTATTTGTGTGCTCAAGTGTTATTGTAAAAATGATAAAGGCAGGGTACAAATACATATACTGTATACATACTGTTCCAAAGGCCAGGAATCATGAGAGGAAAGGCATACTGCCTAGATCCCATTAAAGGGCACTGTTCTAAGGATGGACTGGATTTAATCTAACTCTGTTACTCTTCAGACTGTTAATTCACAGTACATACTTACGTGGAATCGGTATCCTTTTCTTTCTTCCGTATTCCAAAGGCTTTCCTTGTACGTTTTTTCAATCCTGTGGAGATAGGAGAAAAAATAATGGACTATGTCAGCCAGCTTTAAACTTGGCTAAGTAATACAGCGGACGGCCTAACAGGCAATCCAATTCAACATAAGTTAAGTCTCACTGAAGCATATAGAGAGTTGTGTTTTAAAAATAAACAGTATTGTCCTGTAATGAATAAAGAACTATAGAGGGCTTTATATTACACTGCACAATTAAAGCATAGAATGTAAAGGACTTTTTTTCACACAAAAGGAATTCTGGTATGATTTACTATTGAGTTTTACTGGCTTAATAGACAATTACAAGTGAATAGTGGTTACATCTAAGACAAAATTATAAATGACAAACTCCCTCCACAGAGTAAATAAAACTAAATATTTTAAGAAATAGATATATTTTTATATGTTTTTACAAGCTGTTTAGAAAATGTTATTTTGGTCTTCCTGTCATAATTTTTGTTGCGTCCTTGGCGGGAAAGCAGACACGAGAAGCAGCTGGAGTTCTCAGTTTCTTTTATTCAGCGTTCAGCTTACAGGAAGATGGCTTCAGCCTCGCCCAAACGCCTCGCAGCCTCTTATATAGGCAACTCCCGGGTAAATGGGTTACTTTTCCCGCGCCAGCACCCGCGCATGCGCACGGCGCTGGCGACAGCCTGTCTGGTCCCGGGCAGCTTTGCACCTGCCCGGGACTGCCTGCAAACGCCCGAGCCGTTTGCAAAGGCTCGGGACATAACACCCCTTTCCCCCGGGCTAAAACTACTACCAACATACAACATTTATTTTATATGACATTTTGCTCCCCAATGTTCCCACTGTTTACTGGCTTTTGCTTTGCCAGCAATGTTATGTAGTCTTCTAGGTACTTGGGAGATTTCTTTGCTCTCTGTGACCTTCTTAGCTCTGGATTACTGGCATAAGTCCCCTGACTGGAGGGAGGCGTGAGCCTGTTCTCTCTATTGTGCCCTGGTGTCTTCCAAGGACTGTGCCCCAATGCCTGGCCTGCTCGCTTGCCCACCGGGCTCGTCAGGCCAGGGCTTCTGTTGCTTTGTGACCTGGTTGACCTGCCTAGCTGTAGACCCTCGGGCCCCTTGAAGTGATAGCCGCTGCTGGGCGTCTCTGTAGGACCTCCTAGGTCAGTCCAAGACCTGTCAGGAGGCTGTCCATTCCCTGAACCCCATTCTGTGTTCGGGCTCGTGTGGGTTTCTGTACTTTCCCAAAACTCAGGTGTTCCCTGATTTGTGCTAGGGTTGTTGTAGTCGGGACTTGGTTCCTCGACTAGCTCTGTGTATGTTTGACCCCCTGTAGGATTTGGGGTAAGGTCAGGCCAACCTTGGGAATTGTGTGCCAGCTCTCTTGCGGGGAATGATTTGTTGGGATGCCCCCGGGTATCCTCCGTTACTGGAGTGCTGTGTGATGTGTGTGGAAAGTGAGTATGCCCCCGGGGTGACTCCCTGGCTGGAGTAGGCGTGAGTGCCTGTTGTGTGGGTAAGCTCCATGACTTCCTTTTCGGAGCAATTGCGGAACCTTGGGACGAGCCGTTTGTGGCTCCCTCAGTGGAGATGGGCAGTAGCTCTTGCCCTTCCCTTTGCTCCAAAGGGTCCCCCTCCCCCCCTGGAAAGGACCCAGGAGTCTCAGCAGAAAAGTCTCGCCTAGAGCGAAGTTGGTCGATGTGCCGACGCAGGACACGACCGTTGTCCAGGGCAACCTCGTAGGAGAGAGGACCTTGATCCTGGACACAGAAGCGGGGACCCATGTATGACCAGGCCCGTAGTTGCGAGCCCAAACCGGGGCACCCACAGTAGTTTTTACTAGGTGCCTAGATGTTGAGCTAGATAATGCAGGTCTTGTCAGGATGCAACACCGTTCACGTCTAGTATGTAAGTTGGCGTCCCCAACGACATTCAAGCTGGACTTGCTCTCCTGTAGAAGTGACGGTGTGGTGCGATAAGAAAGGAGAAAGTCCAGCCAACCTGTGATTGCCAGTCCCCATATAGGTGAGTCTCTCATAGGCGGCCTTGCGATGCGCACCCATGCGTTCAGCCTATACCTGTGGTGGACGGGTGAAGAGCGCAGACGTGGCATGACGAATCTTTGGCCTGTAAGAAAGCTTTGAATTCGGAGGAAGTGAATTGAGGGCCGTTGTCGGACACAATAACATCTGGCAGCCCGTGTGCAGCAAAAATCCCCCTCAGTACCTGAATAGTCTTTGCAGTGGTGGTGGATGAGACAGGTACAACCTCAAGCCATTTCGATTGGCTGTCAACAAGGACCAAGAAGAACTGGCCCTGAAAGGGCCCAGCGTAGTCAATGTGCACCCTAGACCATGGGGACTGTGTTTCCTCCCATTTATGCACAGGAGCTTGGGGCATCTCTGGGCGAGATCGTTGGCACATGTGGCATGCGTGTCCCTTAGCCTCAATATCTTTATCTAAAGCAGGCCACCACAAGTGGCTGCGTGCAAGAGCCTTCATACGAACAATGCCAGGATGACCCTCGTGGAGGGATTCTAAGACCCTAGTCCTCATTGAGGTGGTAATGACAACTCTGTTTCCCCAAAGCAAACAACCCTGAGAAAGGGACAATTCGTTCCTTTTGGACCAGAAACTCTGAAACTCAGGACTAGGGCAGTGGCTCAGGCCACCCTCGGACAGGACTCCAGGAGGCGGACACACAGTGAAAGTGTGTGTCGATCTGTACCCGTTTCATAGCGGGTAACTGATCCCTAGGCACTAAGAGGGCTCGGGCAAGGCTTGGGATTGAATAGAATGTACAGCTGGCCGAGTGGTCAGCTTCTACTAACTGGGCAGAGGCAACCTACTGAGGCATCAGCATGGCCCATTTAATTGTAAAAAGAGTTGTGAGTAATGAAAAATCATAGTCAATCAGACAAATAGACCACCTACAGCATTCTAGGGGAATGATGTGGGGAGTCCTGCTGTACGTGTGGTAATACATCCCAGCATTAGGCTTATGGTCAGTGAAGACGTGAAATGCCTGGCCATATAGAAAATCGTGGAATTTTTTAATTCCAGCAACATAACAGCCAGAGCCTCCCTGTCTAACGAGCGAGTTGCGCTCCAGGCAGAAGACGTGTTCTGGAGTAGCTATCGCATAGGAACCTGAGGTCCATCAGACCTGAGGTGGCTCAGGACAGCTCCAACCCCGTAAGGGGACGCATCACAAGCGATGCACACAGAAAGGGACTCGTTGAAATGTGCAAGTACACTGTTAGAAGTGAGCAAAGCCTTGACTTTGTTAAAACAACCCTCATGCGTTTGTGACCACTGCCACACTGCTTGCTTGTCTAGTAGCCTGTGAAGAGGCTCAGCTACACTAGCTTTTTGTGGAAGAAAAGAATTATAGAAATTCAGGAGGCCCAGGAAGGCCTGAAGTTCGGCCTTGGACTTTGGCCTAGGTGCTTCTAAAATAGCAGTTAGTTTGGATTCAGCAGGGTGAATCCCAGCAGCATCAATTTTGAACCCCAGAAATTCGTAGAAGGCACCCCAATCTTGCAGTTGTCTTTTTTGAGCTTGAGGCCTGTTTTCCTGAATCTTAACAGAACAGCCTAAGTCTTTCAGTAGAATGTGGTGGAGTCTCCTGCAATCAATACCTCGTCAAGTAGGGGCGAGACCCCCTGGCATACCTCGTAGTGTGTTTTCCATTACGCTTTGGAAAATCCCAGGAGCGACATTTACTCCAAACTGTAGCCTTTTTACTTTAAAGGCTCCCCTGTGGGTCACAATGGTCTGGGCTATGGCAGCATCATCATCAACAGGCAGCTGTTGATATGCTTGAGCTAGGTCAAGCTTTGCAAAAACACGCCCCCCCTTGAGAGAGGCCAGGATGTGACTGACCACAGGACAGGATAGGCATGTTGCTGCAATGCCTTATTGAGTGTGCATTTGTAATCAGCACAAATGCGAATGTCCCCATTTGCCTTTAGAGGCGTGACAATGGGGGTCTCCCACGGGCTGGAATCAACATGTTCTAGGATTCCCTGTTGGATTAGTTTGTCTAATTCAGTGTCAATCTTATTTTTTAAAGCAAAAGGGACCCTTCTTGCTTTAATCCTATGGAGTGCAGTGGGGTCCCCCTAGCTTTAAGGACACAGTGGTCCTTTGAATGTGCCCAGCTGGGGGCTGAAAACATCTGCAAATTCTTTGCAGACTTCTGTAGGTCGAGTGTTTCGTAAGCTGTTGAGTCTGTGACGTATAGCCCAGGGCGCTCAAACCAATCGAGTCCTATGGAACTCGTTCGTTCACCACCCTAATACTATAATCTATGGACCGTTCAAACTCTGTATTGCACGTTAAGGGTGGCCTCCCCTTAACCACACTCTTGAGTTCTGAAAATCTGTTATCCAATTATCAGAAGGCTTAACTTGGCCTTAGACCCCCCACTTCCCTGGAACAAATCGTCCTAAATGTATGCAATGAAATGATGGAAAGGGCAGACCCTGGGTCTAGTTCCATAGATAATGGAACCCCTTGTAGCTTCACGTTAGTGACAGCTTTTTCTTCATGGGCTTGTGTGTGCCTGTCCTACAGATGCTTCTTCGCGAAGCGCAAAAACCTACCCTATTCTGGCTGGGGAGTCTGGTACCCTTCAGGCGTTCTTCTTGGGGGTGTGCCTTTCGTCGGCCCAGACACACAGCTGCAATGTGCCCTAGTTTGCCGCTCCCGGCAGTAGCGGAGCGGAACTTGCAGTCGGTTCTTCTGTGGCGACCTCCACAGCCCGATGCACTTGAGCGGAGCCGAAGAGCTTCCCTTCTGGTTCTCTTCCTTCGCGGGGTGTAGACGGTCGACTTCCTCGTCCGGATCCTCCTCGGAGTTTCGTCGGACGTCTTCCTGGTGCACGGACGCACCCTCTGCACTGTTTCTGATCGGCCGCATGTTTTTGATGGCGCCGCCTGCTGCTTCTTCTGCGGTGACTTCCCTTAAGGCGTCTTGGAAGGATAATTCTTCCTTTGCGAAAAGTCTCTGTTGTAGCTCGCGATGCCTTAACCCGCAC